CTGGCATCCTGCAAAACTGATGGGTTTGTACTGAGAGTAAGGGGGGAGAGAGGAGAGAGGGGGTAGGAAGAGGGGGGGGGGTAGAGATGATGGAGGAGAGGGGGAGAAGGTGAGTGTGGGTGTGAGAGAGAAAGAGACAAAGAGAGAGATATAAAATGAGGGAGTAAGTAACAATACAAAATCATATATAACACAGGAATGGGATAAAACTCAGCTGCAGGACATTCCCATAGTTATTCACAGGGACGATAAGAATCCCCTGTAATTAGAACACTTCTCACAGCCACACCCCCTTGAACAGGACTGCAGACTGGAACATACTGTGGTGAGCTTCCATCTACAGGGAACACACACACACACACACACAGCATTGTGTTCCCGTCTCTGTTTACTGTCAGAAGACAATTAGCAAAGGAGCAGCCAGCCAATAAAAAACATGAGCTTTCATAGTAAAGAAAGATGATTAATAATCAGTTAAACCAACAGCCTCTGAAATTAAAGGATGCAAGACTTCACTCTCACACAGTCACACGTGCACGGGTTCTCTTCACGCTGTTCACAGCGTGGTAGCCAGGGCACCAAAACAGCGGAGAAGTTGAGCCTCGCGCTTCAACACTCTTAGTTGTTGCGGAAATTGTTTACTCATATCACGGAGTCTACCTGGTGTTGTTAGAATATCAATGTACACTCTTAGAAACAAAGGTGCTAAAAGGGTTCTTTGGCTGTACCCATAGGAGAACCCTTTGAAGAACCCTTTTTGGTTTCAGGTAGAACCCTTTTGGGAACCAAAAATGGTTCTACATGGAACCTAAAAGGGTTATCCTATGGGGACAGCCGAAGAATCCTTTTGGAACCCTTTTTTCTAAGAGTGTACTTGTACTCATATACACCTCATTCAAAAATTTACTCATACACACACACACGTATGAGAGCATTCACGCATGTACACAGCTGGCTCATGCCTGGGCAGTCCTGCATTATACATTAAGTATACAAAACATTACTTTCCATGACCAGACCAAGTGATTCCAGGTGAAAGCTATGATCCCTTATTGATGTCACTTGTTAAATCCACTTCAATCAGTGTAGATGAAGGGGAGGAGACAGGTTAAAGCAGGATTTTTAAGCCTTTAGACAATTGAGACATGGATTGTGTATGTGTGCCATTCAGAGGGTGAATGAGCAAGACAACATATTTAAGTGTCTTTGAGCAGGGTATGTTAGTAGGTGCCAGGTGCACCGGTTTGAGTGTGTCAAGAACTGCAACGCTGCTGAGTTTCACGCTCAACAGTTTCCCGTGTGTATCAAGAATGGTCCACCACCCAAAGGAAATCCAGTCAACTTGACACAACTGTGGGAAGCATTGGAATCGACATGAGCCAGCATCCCTTGTGGAACGCTTTCGACACCTTGTAGAGTCCATGCCCCAACGAATTGTGGCTGCTCTGAGGACAAAAGGGGGTGCAACTCGATATTAGGAAGGTGTTCCTAATGTTTTGTACACTCAGTTGAGGTTAAACCTAAATATATTAGACAGAGTAACAGTGTAACATACACATTCATGGCTAGTACTAACTCAGTATAGAGAGCTCACATCCCGCTGTGTGTGTTTGAAATGAGAAACTGGAGAACCTGTGTAGTATGGCTGGATTCAATGCCTTCATCAGCCGGATAAAAAACCAAGCCTTTGTAAATGTATCAATGACCAAGGTTGAAGGCCAATGGATAGAACACACTTTCCTTTATCGTGGTGGGTTTAAGAGGGCATGGTAGAGAAAGACGTGAATAGAGTTAAGTGGATAGGGTAGAGAGAGAGGCTGAGAGAGAGATGAGACAGGTCAGAGGTGACAGTTGCAGTACTTTATCCATAGCAGCTCATAGGTCATGGGTCAAGCACTGACTGTGGCTCAATAGATGAGACCTATACAACCACACAAAAGTGAAGGAGATGGACTGAGCCAGAGGGATTTATATAGCCATACATGCTGTTATTTCATACTTTAAAACCACAATCTGTCATTTGTTTTACAGCCAAATGCTTCATTAATTTAAATGGCCATTGAACAGCAGTGACCATTGCAGATTGTACTTTTAAAGGGGTGAAAAAGCCACAGGTCATTAACTAGCCTCAGGGTGCAATAGATGTATCTTTATTCTAGAGTGACTCACTCAACTAACTGACCATTAATTCCCAGTAAATGTTATAATTTCTCACGAAAGGGGGGAGTAAAGCAGAAATGCAAATCGGACACCCAGGGGCTGCTATTGTCAGGTGTTTCAGAAAAGTTGAAAAGCTCCCACACACTGCGCTTGGAAATGGTCCCGGCCTTGTTCTGACGCAGGTTGTGAGGCTACAACATTAGTGCAAAAATAGGTATGGGATACTTTGCAAGCTCACTGTGTGGGAGAAGATTACTTATTTTCTTTGAACAAGACCCAGGAACCATACTATGTATGCTATCCTGATGCAGTGAAAAGAGTGAAAAATAATAAAAACATAAAGTAAGCTTTTGAAACATCTTTGTGTGAACCTATCACATTTTTGCTTACACAGAGTCAGTCCCATCTCTTAGGACAGAACAAGGAACAAGCCATCAAGTCAAACAACCCACAGCAACCCCTCTAGTCTATCCCCAGACTCATTCTCAGCCTCATTCTCAGCCCCAGCCCTAACCCCCAGACGTTGGTCAGCGCTCATGCCATAGACCCTCACCGGAGATGTTGGTGGTGATCTCAGTGAGGGCAGTCTGTCCGAAGCCCTTGGCGGTGCGAGCTCTAACAGACACCAGGTAGGTGGTGCCGGGGTGCAGGCCAGAGAACATGTGGTATGTCTCGTTCCTCAGTTTGGAGACGGTACGACGAGGGCCCGGTACGTTGATGCCCGGGTCGGATGACTCGATGCCCTGGTAACTGATCTGGAGACCGGGAACAAAACACAGACAAATAGGGTCACAATGCTGTGTTGTTGTTGTTGTAAGAGTATTGTTGTTGTAACAGATTTAGGAACAGGGAACAAAACACAAACCATAGAATCACAATGAGTAGTCTCTGATGACAAACTGTGAACATAGATGAATCAAGGTGAGATTTGATTCCGCTACCTGAGATCATTCGATAGGTGTTGTTGTTGTGGTTAGTGTTATTGTTGTCGGAGGATGAGAGAGATGTTTTGCTGTGGGTTGTTTCAATGTTGGGTGTCAACCAGAGATTTGACGAATGAGGTGGTGTTACTGTGCCTCTGACTGTCTGCCTTGCACCCTTACCCACAGTGACTCCACCACGCAGCCCAAAATGAGATCATTCCTGTTGTCATCATGTGTTACAGAAGGAAACACTCAGAACGTATCCTCTGTCACCACACAGACAACCAACAGACACCCCAATTATTTCTCCTACTGTTCTTTTCTGCATCACTCTCGCCTTTCTTTTCTCAGAGATCCCGTTTGCAGTGCCTCTCTTCTCTCTCTTCCATCGTTCCTCTCACCTCTCTTCTCTTTATTCTTTCCCTCGCTCTCCTCCCCTCTCTCTCTTCTCTCTTCTCTCTCCTCTCACCAGGCAGCTCTGACACGTCCCCGGTTCTCATTCTCCTCTCTCCTGATTCAACCATCTAGTCTCACTCCTCCATCCCTCCCCTCTTTCACCCTGCCTAAATTCATCTTCTCACTTCTCTTCATCTTCTCCCTTTCTCCATATATTTGGTCTCTTTTCCATTTCACCTTCAATATCTATTCCAATGGCTTCTTCCTTCCATCATTCTATCTCTCAGTCTCTCTCCATCTCACTATTTACATGTCGCTTCCTTTTCAACACACTCTCTCTCTGTCAGAGCAGACTTCTCAGGCCCAGACCTGTCTCTGTCTGGACAGCTTTCATTCATTCAGCTGTGTCACCACAGCCTGCCTGTAAGCTCTAAGAGTTGGCTACAGAGGCCTGTGTCGGGGTCGACCAGGGACATGTAAACACATACATAAATCATTATTTAGAAGCATTTAAAGTTGCCCCCCATGTGAAAGTGTCTCTTAGGCAAATAAGTAATTATATTGCTTGTCTATATACAGTTGAAGTCGGAAGTTTACATAAACCTTAGCCAAATACATTTAAACTCAGTTTTTCACAATTCCTGACATTTAATCCTAGTAAAAAGAGAAGTAGAGAGAATTATTTATTTCAGCTTTTATTTCTTTCATCACATTCCCAGTGGGTCAGAAGTTTACATACACTCAATTAGTATTTGGTAGCATTGCCTTTAAATTGTTTAACTTGGGTCAAACGTTTTGGGTAGCCTTCCACAAGCTTCCCACAATAAGTTGGGGGAATTTTGGCCCATTCCTCCTGACAGAGCTGGTGTAACTGAGTCAGGTTTGTAGGCCTCCTTGCTCGCACACACTTTTTCAGTTATGCTCACACATTTTCTATAGGATTGATGTCAGGGCTTTGTGATGGCCACTCCAATACCTTGACTTTGTTATCCTTAAGCAATTTTGCCACAACTTTGGAAGTATGCTTAGGGTCATTGTCCATTTGGAAGACCCGTTTGCGACCAAGCTTTAACTTCTTGACTGATGTCTTGAGATGTTGCTTCAATATATCCACAATATTTTCCTTCCTCATGATGCCATCTATTTTGTGAAGTGCACCAGTCACTCCTGCAGCAAAGCACCCCCACAGCATGATGCTGCCATCCCCGTGCTTCACGGTTGGGATGGTGTTCTTCGGCTTGCAAGCAACACCCTTTTTCCTCCAAACATAACCATGGTCATTATGGCCAAACAGTTCTATTTTTGTTTCATCAAACCAGAGGACATTTATCCAAAAAGTACGATCTTTGTCTGGCTTTTTTATGGCGGTTTTGGAGCAGTGGCTTCTTCCTTGCTGAGCGGCCTTTCAGGTTATGTCGATATAGGACTCGTTTTACTGTGAATATAGATACTTTTGTACCTGTTTCCTCCAGCATCTTCACAAGGTCCTTTGCTGTTGTTCTGGGATTGATTTGCACTTTTCGCACCAAAGTACGTTTATCTCTAGGAGACAGAACGCATCTCCTTCCTGAGCGGTATGACAGCTGCATGGTCCCATGGTGTTTATACTTGCATACTATTGTTTGTACAGATGAACGTGGTAACTTCAGGCGTTTGGAAATTGCTCCCAAGGATGAACCAGACTTGTGGAGGTATACAATTATTTTTCTGAGGTCTTGGCTGATTTATTTTGATTTTCCCATGATGTCAATTAGTCTATCAGAAGCTTCTAAAGCCATGACATCATTTTCTGGAATTTTCCAAGCTGTTTAAAGGCACAGTCAACTTAGTGTATATGTAAACTTCTGACCCACTGGAATTGTGAATTATAAGTGAAATAATTTGTCTGTAAACAATTGTTGGAAAAATTACTTGTGTCATGCACAAAGTAGATGTCCTAACCGACTTGCCAAACCTATAGTTTGTTAACAAGAAATTTGTGGAGTGGTTGAAAAACAAGTTTTAATGACTCCAACCTGAGTGTATGTAAACTTCCGACTTCAACTGTATAATTGCAGGGCTGCAGTCATTCCTTATTAATGACCATGGCACATGTATACTGTACTGCATGGGTAGGCAACTAGATTCAGCCGCAGGCCGATTTTTGTCGAAGCGGATGGTCAGGAAGCCGGAACATCATTTATAATAATTTGTACACTGCAAATTTGCCAAAACTAAGCCCAAAAATAGATTGTATTTGATCATTTCATACCTTGATTACATTGAGTCACAATCAAGTCTCTTATTTTATTTGTGGGAATACTTGAACAGATTTCCTAAATGAAATATATTTTTAGCTGAATTCCTGGTGATTTCAGTATTTTTTTAACAACCCCCTCCCCCCCAAAACAACACAACAACACAGTAGAGATAGATAGAGATAAATCTCAGTAAAATAAGCAAAAAAATATGAATAGGGAAAAAAAGAGAAAGATAGAGATCAAGATTGACTCCGAGATAGATACGTGATTGCAAAAAGGTAGACAGAAGGGAAAGTTAAGGGTCATGTTCCATACCTCATACTGTGTGATGACCCCATTGGGCTCCACAGGCTCCTCCCACTTCAGAAAGATCATATCGTCCAATGGGGTGAAGGTCAGTGTCTCTGGGGCAATGCCACCAGGAACTGGAAGAGAAAACACAACATAAACATTCTGAGAACCCGCAGTTGACTGAATAGGGGGTCCTATAGGAAGGAAGTGATAAAGGATATCTGGTTTCCAACCATAAAGACAGGCAAATCGAATTGAGGACCAGAAGATTTGGGGAGTGCGTGCCTGGGTGGAAGCTTGCGTATGTGTTTGTCTGATTGAAAGACGCCGCTGCTACAGTTCATGCAACTAACAAGCTCCTCTGACTGTCTGGCTGTCTGTCTGGCTCTGAGGCTGTGGCTCAGACGGGTAAAGTCTAGAGCACTGCCTTGTGGCTGACAGTTAAACCTGCTCTATCCTCTCTCTCTCCACAACAGACCTGAGAGGAGCAGAACACATTGGCCACAGTGTAATGGCAGGGCCAAGTAGGGAAATGGGCATCCAAACTAGAAACCCAACTGGGTCTGAGACTTTGTCTGTGTCAGGGACTCTTGTTTTAACATGGGGGTTAGTGACTAGCAGTCAATGAATCTAATAGAGGCCTGTAAAATCAGGGCATTATTCACAGTTGATTGGTTCAGGGACAGAGTTGGGAAAGTTCAACAAGCCCTAGAGATGAAGAATGGCTTTTGGTTGTCTGGGACACATGAACTCTGGGTTGAATCTGTGCATGCGTACGTGTGTGTTTGTGCGCGTGAAAAAACTAAATAGAGGTAATTCTATTAGGTAGTCTTTTTCATTATTTTCTCTTCCCAAAGAGAACTCTGGGAAAGTGAAGATAGTTGAGAGCCTCACTCTCTCTCTCGTTCTCTTTTTCTTGTATCTCTTCCTCTGCTTGCTCACTTCAAGAGCCGCTGTTCAACTGACTATGAAATATATGACATTATACAGCAGGAGCACATTGTCCTCATACTCATGGGAGGACCTTGCAATTTGGAGATTTCCAAATGCAGCCAATTTCATACTCATAAAATGTATTGTACTGTAACCTTGCTAGCTCTCTCTCTTTCTCTCCCTCTCTCTCTCTCCCTCTCTCTCTCCCTCTCCCCCCTCTCTCTCTTTTCCTCCTCTCTCATGGGTCAAGAACTGCTGTGAGCAATGTTTCATTCTCTCTCTCGTTTCATTGTCTCTCTCTTTCTTTCCTTCCTCTCTCATGGGTCAAGAACTGCTGTGAGCAATGTTTCATTGCATAGTACATTTTCTCTGACCTACAACTTCAATCCATCTAGAGGAAATGTATATTAAAATGTGCTTAATCCACTGTTGTACACAGGAATCATTTCACCATTTCGCTGGTGGCCATGACTGACTGATTAATTTTTCATCTGCTTTCATTTAAAAGTCTTATCTTCCATTTAGTTATGCTAATCCTGTTTATTTTGCAAGTCAATATGTGTTTTTTCTTCCTATTACTGTATTTAGTCACTGGAGGCAGGATAACTTAGTGTACCCAGCACACAATCATACAATACTTATATGCCTACTTCAAGCTACAAAGTGAGGGTTTTCTCAGTGCGGAATGTATATGTGGTTGTCGTTGTCCAACCTTGATGATATAGAAAGTAATAACAATATTTTTTTAATCTATCAAACCACTGTAAAAATGCAAATCAATGCATTGGGTCCTGCCAATTAAATTGGGTCCGATTCCACTACTCAATACATGGCTATGTAGGTTAGTCACTGCATTGACCACTACTGGGTCCAACACTCTCTGGGTTTCATATCAACTACAATGCATGCTGGGTAATAGAGTCCACTCACTGTCCTCCTCGGTCTGGAAGGTGACCACTCTGCTCATCTTCTTGCCCTAGACTATAACTTTACAATGCATGTTGGGTAATAACAGTCCACTTACTGTCCTCCTCAGTTTGAAAGGTGACCTCTCTGCTCTCCTTCTTGCCTTCTGGGTTTTCCAGCGCCAGCCGGACGTGGACGGATCGGAACGGGGGCAGGTCCCTCAGGGTGAAGTGTGATTGGTTCCTCTCCACGGAGAGACACTCCCTAACTGTGGCGTTGTTCCCTGCACTGCCCCCTGCAGGCGTGGAGTAGCGGTAGCAGAGAGAGACGGAGTAGGTGTGGCAGCGCGTCAGGTTGTAGCCCAGAGGTTCCCACTGTAAGGCTAGTTGACGAGGCTGGATCTCTGTGGCTGTGAGGCCTCGCAACGCACGCATGGGCTCTGATGGAGAGATGGAGGGAGGGGAGATGGAAGGGAAGAGGGGTGGGTGGGTGGGAGAGAGAGAGCCAAAGAGGGAGAGACAGAGACAGAGAGAAACAGACAGAGAGACAGAGAGAGACAGAGACAGACAGAGACAGAGAGAGACAGAGAAAGAAAGAAATAAACATAAAGAAAGACAGTGTGAGATGGAGTGATAAAGAAAAATAGAAAGATAAGGAGAAAGAGACTGACGGTTAGTTAGATGTGGGTGAAGTGTGATTGGTTTTACTTTCCAAACTCACCACAGGAAGTTGGATAAATCTATATTTTTTAAACACCCTGGAGAGATAGGGAAGAATGGAGGAGGAGGAGGGAGCGATGTACAGCATTAACATATTATTAATATAATCTCACGCATCCCTTAATTCTTACAGAGCACAGGCTGCTCAGCTCCAGATCCAAAGGCGATGCCCTATGAGCTAAGATGATGGGATATGGAACTAGCTAATTACTGATGGCATGTGTGAGACTGGGGTGACGGATCCCTGTGTCCCTATCATGATGATGTCCAACAGGACCATATCTGCCAGACTGCAGCCACAGAGGCTGCTAAGGTAGGGCTGTGTCTGGGAACCTATTCCCTCTAATAATGCACTACTTCCTCATGGGCCCTGGTCAAAAGTAGAGCACTATACGCCATTTGGGATGAAGACTAGAACCCCATTAGGAAGGCTGCTATATGAAAGCATGACTCATCATTAGATTAATCACACTACCACCCACCCAGGCTGCCCTCCCTGTCTCTGTCTGTTTGTCTGCCCAGCAGCACACCACCTCGCAGCCCACACACACCCCACGGCAGCCGACAGACATCTAGGCCCACAGATAGGTTGATGAGACTAATCAAAGGGACAAGCCAGGGGCGGGAGAGAGAGGAGGGTGGACGGAGGGGTGGATGGCGTGGAGGGGTATGTCAGACTGGCTGTCAGCCCCCCTCTGGGCTCTGCTGGCTCCAGCTCATCTCCTCTCTGCCTCTTCCCTCTCATCTTAAACCATGTCAGTGAGCTAACAGAGAGGACACCTTCTCACCAAGGGTCAACTGTTGTTATGAACATAATCAGCCTCGCTGTCCTCCGACCTACAGGTCACACGCTGTTACAGAAACAATCACAGCGTCAGGAGGGAGAGGAAGGAGGGAGGTATGGGATGGAGGAGAGGTCCGGTAGTGCCAGTTGGATCCATCATTGAGTCACTGTCATGGGTTAAGAGGGGTTATAGCCTCTGACGTTTATAGGAAGAAGCTGGGTGATACACATCTATGCCTCAGAGGGGAGAGATGGAGGGAGGGAACGGTCTAGTTGCGTCATGTCAGAAAAAAAATCTGCCCATGTTTCCAGTTTGCCCAATGTGCCTCCCCAAAAGACCAAAGAATGATAACAGAAGTAGCCAGATTTGTAGTACTCTTCTTTGTTCTCCTGCAATGAGTGAGGTAAACTGGTGACATGTCTGAAACACACACTGACTTATCTTATTCCCTCTTTATTCCAATATCGAACGGACGTTAGTATTCAAATACTAGTGTGGGTATTCATTTTTGCTAGCTAGCTTTTCTAGGCTACTCCAGTCAAGACAGGCACTGTTATAAGGGTTGATAAATAACATTGTGGCTGCTACAAGTTAGCTAGTCTTGGCTGTAGCCGAGAGCAATAGAGCCTTAGCCTGTCCCTCGCGCAGCATTGCTCAGGTTAAAAACGTACGTTTATAAACCACACATATTTCGAATATCTGGATATCCGACAAGAATTCATGATACTATTCGAATAGTGAAATATTTCAAACACCCATGCCTATTCTACATCAGTTAAAACTTGAGAGGGATTAATCAAAAGCCTTCTTTCCGTGGACGTAGGTATATAAAATAATAATAGAAAAATAGCACCAGATTAACTGAAGGTAAATATGTTTTTCAGGCTAGGGCTGCTGCTGTTTCCTGTTCTTTCTGAGCTGGACAGGAAGAGGGGATATGAGACAGATTGATCTAGAGCAGGGGTGTCCCAAAAATAATATATTCGAAAACTTTAAAATATACTTTAAAATATACTTTCAAATGTATTACATTCATATACAGTGGGGAAAAAAAGTATTTAGTCAGCCACTATTTGTGCAAGTTCTCCCACTTAAAAAGATGAGAGAGGCCTGTAATTTTCGTCATAGGTACACATCAACTATGAAAGACAAATTGAGAAAAAAAAATCCAGAAAATCACATTGTAGGATTTTTTATGAATTTATTTGCAAATTATAGGGGAAAATAAGTATTTGGTCACCTACAAACAAGCAAGATTTCTGGCTCTCACAGACTTGTAACTTCTTCTTTAAGAGGCTCCTCTGTCCTCCACTCGTTACCTGTATTAATGGCATCTGTTTGAACTTGTTATCAGTATAAAAGACACCTGTCCACAACCTCAAACAGTCACACTCCAAACTCCACTATGGCCAAGACCAAAGAGCTGACAAAGGACACCAGAAACAAAATTGTAGACCTGCACCAGGCTGGGAAGACTGAATCTGCAATAGGTAAGCAGCTTGGTTTGAAGAAATCAACTGTGGGAGCAATTATTAGGAAATGGAAGACATACAAGACCACTGATAATCTCCCTCGATCTGGGGCTCCACGCAAGATCTCACCCCGTAGGGTCAAAATGATCACAAGAACGGTGAGCAATAATCCCAGAACCACACGGGGGGACCTAGTGAATGACCTGCAGAGAGCTGGGACCAAAGTAACAAAGCCTACCATCAGTAACACACTACGCCGCCAGGGACTCAAATCCTGCAGTGCAAGACGTGTCCGCCTGCTTAAGCCAGTACATGTCCAGGGCTGTCTGAAGTTTGCTAGAGTGCATTTGGATGATCCAGAAGAGGATTGGGAGAATGTCATATGGTCAGATGAAACCAAAATAGAACTTTTTGGTAAAAACTCAACTCGTCGTGTTTGGAGGACAAAGAATGCTGAGTTGCATCCAAAGAACACCATACCTACTGTGAAGTATGGGGGTGGAAACATCATGCTTTGGGGCTGTTTTTCTGCAAAGGGACCAGGACGACTGATCCGTGTAAAGGAACGAATGAATGGGGCCATGTATCGTGAGATTTTGAGTGAAAACCTCCTTCCATCAGCAAGGGCATTGAAGATGAAACGTGGCTGGGTCTTTCAGCATGACAATGATCCCAAACACACCGCCCGGGCAATGAAGGAGTGGCTTCGTAAGAAGCATTTCAAGGTCCTGGAGTGGCCTAGCCAGTCTCCTGATCTCAACCCCATAGAAAATCTTTGGAGGGAGTTGAAAGTCTGTGTTGCCCAGCGACAGCCCCAAAACATCACTGCTCTAGAGGAGATCTGCATGGAGGAATGGGCCAAAATACCAGCAAAAGTGTGTGAAAACCTTGTGAAGACTTACAGAAAACGTTTGACCTGTGTCATTGCCAACAAAGGGTATATAACAAAGTATTGAGAAACTTTTGTTATTGACCAAATACTTATTTTCCACCATAATTTGCAAATAAATTCATTAAAAATCCTACAATGTGATTTTCTGGATATTTTTTTCTCATTTTGTCTGTCATAGTTGACGTGTACCTATGATGAAAATTACAGGCCTCTCTCATCTTTTTAAGTGGGAGAACTTGCACAATTGGTGGCTGACTAAATACTTTTTTTCCCCACTGTAGTTTCTTGACTGCATAAAAAATTCCAGGGGACTATTTTGGACAAATTCTGCCGGCAAGGAAATATAACCAGAATCCAGTGCAGCCCCCGGACCTCGTTGAACACCGAATGCGGCCCCCGGGGCAAAATGAGTTTGACACCCCTGATCTAGAGCGTGTAGTGTCACAGGGGCTCTCTCTGCTCTCTATTCCCAGAGATCGAGGCTCACATCTGGGCATGGGGAGCAGACAGGAAGTGGGCAGCTCGAGCCTCGTGACAGGAGGGATCAGAGACTATGATAGATGACAAGATGTCTTGTCGGTCTACTTGACACATCTACAGAGAGCTGTTTCATAAAGATGAGCACTAAGTGCTGGGGAGGGTAAGTGCAGATAAGTGTGTGTGTATGTTTGTGTGTGTGTGTGTGTGTGTGCGCGCGAGGGGAAGTGTAGTACATATAAGTGTCTGAGAGTAGGTTGCAGGTTATTCATTCTACTGTATAATTAAATCAACACACATAATTTAAGTGTAACTGTCCATGCATACACACCGGCTTCTAAAGAGGTACCTACGTACATATCAGCCACTGAGAGCACTATAATCCACACACACATCCTCTCAACCGGTGGACAGCAGGCCATTAGAGAATGTGTTTGAATGTTGTTGTCCTTGTGTTATGGAGGATGTTATTATTTGTAATCTCTCAATGCCATTCCTGAAGGGATAAACAAAGTTGAAGGAATGGAATAGAAAAGAGTAGAGTAGAACAGAACAGAGTAGAACAGAAGCTAGGTTTGGGTTTAGACCCATTCAGCCCCATGAACTCACCTGCACACTTGGTCCTGCTGACCAGGGGGGGTCCAGGCGCCCCTGTGCCTCCCTCCCCGGGCCGGGTCAGTAAAACACTGATACGGTACTCTGTGTCCGGCTCAAGATGCCACACCTTCCAATAGAATAGAAGCAAGTTTTTTTGCAAAGACATGAATAGAAAAATCTGCATTACTGTTTTTGCAATTCAGAGTTATTTAATAACAACCGTTTTTAAATAAGAACCTGTAACAATGCTGAATGACCAATGATTTTGCACGCATATACACACACACACCTTATAGGTGAGCGAGCCCACACCGTGCGTCTCCAACCATGGTGATTGGCTGGCGCGGTACTCGATCTCGCGGCGGATCACGGGGCCGTCCCCCACGATGGAGTTGGTGTTGAGTTGGATGATCAGGTAGGTGGGGCCAGTCCGGAGCAGCTGGGGGGGAGCGATAGGGGTGGGGGGCACTGCCAGGGTGAAGGGGGAGAGGGGCGGGTACAGTGTTATACAGAGGAGTTTTGAGTGACTGAGTGAGTGCATACAGAGGTGTAGTGGAGAAAAAAAAGGATATATACTTTTACACATGGTATGATGATGTTATTTACAGTAGTAGACCCTTTTATCTCACTCAATATATAGTTAACAAGATAACTGAGACAATGCTCTAGTATCACTGTGTCTACAGTTTGTCAAAACCTCGTTTCTAGCCTCAATGATATATAATGACACTAATCTACGTAATCCAGCTCATTATAAAAACAGCATCAGTTGCTGTCAAATGAACAGAGATACAAATTAAATACAATCATCCATAGTTGGACGGTGGTTTACCAGTGAGACTAATTAAAACAATACAATACAAAGACGTACATCATCACTTTATGAATTTTAACAGAACGTCAAAAAAAAAAAGAAGTCAGAATTTCCACAGAATGAGCAATAACTCTTCTCTCGCACAGAAAAAAGGCAAGTCAAGGGTTATTCATGTTTCGTGCGTTTCTTGTTTTATAATTTCCCTAGCGTTATTTCTACTTGGCTAGAGCGTTGACTCACACAATCTTTTAATCACCTTCAGATTATAATGATTTCTGAGAGGCACTTGAAGGGAAGGGAATGTTACATTTTCACCATAATGAATGTGAATTATTTGCATGAGTGATTTTGTGAGTAATGCTGCCTGTCTGTTCAGCGTTAGACAAAGAGACATACACACGTGACCCTCATCAACCCAGGACACCTCATTACAGCAACATGTAGAGGGAAAAACACTGTTTACACAATGACACAGAGTAAACGACATATAGATACATTGTTTCCATGTGTTTCCACAACATACAGAAGGAGAGAGATATGAGAGAGGTTTTGTTAGTTCAGAACATATTTCCTATGCGTGTGCATTTTAACATGTGTGAGTATGTGTGGATGCATTTTAACATGTGTGTTTATGTGTGTGTGTGTGTGTGTGTGTGTGTGTGTGTGTGTGTGTGTGACATTGACTAAGAGTTCCAGTGAGTGAGTTCTTGTATGCATGTCTCTCATTAGGAGAAGCCGTTGGAAGTGGTTGGGTGAGGAAGGAGGTAGGACATATGGAGGAGGGTGTTAAGAGATCCCAGAATGGTAGCTAAGTGTCATGGTGGGTTGGAGGTGTCATATGGGAGGTGGTGTGTAGTGCAGTGCTACAGGACTTCTGTGTGTGTGTGTATGTGTGTGTGTGTGTGTGTGTGTGTGTGTGTGTGTGTGTGTGTGTGTGTGTGTGTGTAAACAAAGACACATCACAAGACATAACGTTGTCAATAAATCAAATCAAATCAAATTTTATTGGCCAAATGCGCCGAATACAACAGGTGCAGACATTACAGTGAAATGCTTACTTACAGCCCTTAACAAACAATGCATTTATTTTTAATAAAAAAGTAGAATAAAACAAAAAAGTGTTGAGAAAAAAATAAAATAACAGTAGGGAGGCTATATATACAGGGGGGTACCGGTGCAGAGTCAATGTGCTGGGGCACCGGCTAGTTGAGATAGTTGAAGTAATATGTGGGTAGAGTTAAAGTGACTATGCATAAATAATTAATAGAGTAGCAGCAGCGTAAAAAGATGGGGGTGGGGGGGGCAGTGCAAATAGTCCGGATAGCCATGATTAGCTGTTCAGGAGTCTTATGGATTGGGGGTAGAAGCTGTTGAGAAGTCTTTTGGACCTAGACTTGGCACTCCGGTACCGCTTGCCGTGCAGTAGCAGAGAGAACAGTCTATGACTAGGATGGCTGGAGTCTTTGACAATTTTGAGGGCCTTCCTCTGACACCGCCTGGTATAGAGGTCCTGAATGGCAGGAAGCTTGGCCCCAGTGATGTACTGGGCCGTACGCACTACCCTCTGTAGTGCCTTGCGGTCGGAGGCCAAGCAGTTGCCATACCAGGCGGTGATGCAACCAGTCAGGATGCTCTCGATGGTGCAGCTGTAGAATTTTTTGAGGATCTGAGGACCCATGCCAAATCTTTTCAGTCTCCTGAGGGGGAATAGGCTTTGTCGTGCCCTCTTCACGACTGTCTTGGTGTGTTTGGACCATGATAGTTCGTTGGTGATGTGGACACCAAGGAACTTGAAGCTCTCAACCTGTTCCACTACAGCCCCGTCGATGAGAATGGGTGCCTGCGCAGTCCTCTTTTTTTTCCTGTAGTCCACAATCATCTCTTTTGTCTTGGTCACGTTGAGGGAGAGGTTGTTATCCTGGCACCACACGGCCAGGTCTCTGACCTCCTCCCTATAGGCTGTCACATCGTTGTCGGTGATCAGGCCTACCACTGTTGTGTCGTCGGCAAACCTAATGATGGTGTTGGAGTCGTGCCTGGCCATGCAGTCATGGGTGAACAGGGAGTACAGGAGGGGACTGAGCACGCACCCCTGAGGGGCCCCCGTGTTGAGGATCAGTGTGGCAGATGTGTTGTTACCTACCCTTACCACCTGGGGGCGGCCCGTCAGGAAGTCCAGGATCCAGTTGCAGAGGGAGGTGTTTAGTCCCATGATCCTTAGCTTACTGATGAGCTTTGAGGGCACTATGGTGTTGAATGCTGAGCTGTAGTCAATGAATAGCATTCTCACGTAGGTGTTCCTCTTGTCCAGGTGGGAAAGGGCAGTGTGGAGTGCAATAGAGATCGCATCATCTGTGGATCTGTTGGGGCGGTATGCAAATTGGAGTGGGTCTAGGGTTTCTGGGATAATGGTGTTGATGTGAGCCATGACCAGCCTTTCAAAGCACTTCATGGCTACAGACGTCAGTGCTACGGGTCGGTAGTAATTTAGGCAGGTTCTTAGATTCCTTGGGCACGGGGACTATGGTGGTCTGCTTGAAACATGTTGGTATTACAGACTCAGTCAGGGACATGTTGAAAATGTCAGTGAAGAAACTTGCCAGTTGGTCAGCACATGCTCGGAGTACACGTCCTGGGAATCCGTCTGGCCCTGCTTAAAAGTCTTACTCTAATCGGCTACGGAGAGCTTGATCACATAGTCATCCGGAACAGCTGGTGCTCTCATGCATGCTTCAGTGTTGCTTGCCTCGAAGCGAGCATAGAAGTGGTTTAGATGGTCTGGAAGTCTTGTGTCACTGGGCAGCTCGCGGCTGTGCTTCCCTTTGTAGTCTGTAATAGTTTTCAAGCCCTGCCACATCCGACGAGCGTCAGAGCCGGTGTAGTACGATTCAATCTTAGTCCTGTATTGACTCTTTGCCTGTTTGATGGTTCGTCGGAGGGCATAGCGAGATTTCTTATAAGCGTCCGGGTTAGAGTCCCGCGCCTTGAAAGCGGCAGCTCAGAGCGGATGTTTCCTGTAATCCATGGCTTCTGGTTGGGTTATGTACGTACGGTCACTGTGGGGACGACCTCATCGATGCACTTATTGATGAAGCTAGTGACTGATGTGGTGTACTGCTCAATGCTATCTGAAGAATCCTGGAACATGTTCCAGTCTGTGCTAGCAAAACAGTCCTGTAGCTTAGCATCTGCGTCATCTGACCAAAGTTTTATTAACCGAGTCACTGGTGCTTCCTGCTTTAGTTTTTGCTTATAAGCAGGAATCGGGAGGATAGAGTTATGGTCAGATTTGCCAAATGGAGGGCGAGATAGAGCTTTGTATGCGTCTCTGTGTGTGGAGTAAAGGTGGTCTAGAGTTTATTTTCCTCTGGTTGCACATTTCACATGCTGGTAGAAATTAGGTAGAACTGATTTAAGTTTCCCTGCATTAAAGTCCCCGGCCACTAGGAGCGCTGCCTCTGGATGAGCGTTTTCCTGTTGACTTATGGCCTTATACAGCTCATTCAGTGCAATCTTAATGCCAGCATTGGTTTGTGGTGGTAAATAGACAGCTATGAAAAATATATTTAAAAAACGATTTACTCTCTTGGTAATTAGTGTGGTCTACAGCTTATCATAAAATACACTACCACAGGCGAGCAAAACCTCGAGACTTCCTTAGTATTTGATTTTGTGCACCAGCTGTTGTTTACAAATATACACAGACCGCCACCCCTTGTCTTACCGGAGTCAGCCGTTCTATCCTGCCGATGTAGCGTATATCCCGTCAGCTGTATGTTGTCCATGTCGTCGTTCAGCCGCGACTCGGTGAAACATAAGATATTACAGTTTTTAATGTCCCTTTGGTAGGATAACCGTAATCTTAAATCATCCAATTTATTCTCAAATGATTGAAGATTGGCTAATAGGATTGGGAGCGGCAGTTTACTCGCTCGCCGTCGGATCCTTACAAGGCACCCCGACCTACGTCCACGATATCTCTGTCTCTTCCTCATGCGAATGACGGGGATTTGGGCCTTGTCGGGTGTCTGTAGGATATCCTTCGCGGCCGCCTCGTTGAAGAAAAAATCTTCGTCCAATACGAGGTGAGTAATCGCTGTCCTGATATCCAGAAGCTCTTTTTGGTTATAAGAGACGATGGCAGATACATTATGTACAAAATAAATTACAAATAACGCGGAAAAACACACATAATAGTACAATTGGTTAGAGGGCTGTAAAACGGCAGCCTTCTTCTCCGGCGCAATTTTAATGAAATAGCCAGACATGTTTCCATTGGGTATTTACCATACCATGCTTTAACACACAGCATAAACATGACTATACGGACTGGCCGTACTATACCTCTGACGATGAGCTCGGCGAAGTTAGACACGGCAGCTCCGCGTGTGGACTCTGTGATGCAGCGATATAGGTCCTGCTCCCCTCTCTCAGCCTCCACCTGGAAGGTGGCCATCAGACGCTTGTGGCTCAGACGCTGGATAGAGGACGCCGCCACAACCACACCGTTACGACGCTGCAGAGAGCGAGAGAGAGAGAGAGGGAGCGAGAGAGAGAGAAAGTCACGCTAACTCACCCATACACAGGTGATCATGTTTACCTGTGTAGCCACCACCTCTGTCACTGCCACCAAAAACACAGTCACAGAGAGAGAGAGAGAGAGTTCGGTTACCTGAACTGACCTACACAAATTGTTATGTTTATTATACTGTGTAGCCATGAGATATAGCCCTACATAATGGGATTGTGAGTGGGAAGGAAGGAAGGAGAGAGACAGGGAGAGGACGAAGGAGAGATGAGGTACCGTGGGAGGTGGAGATAATAAATACATTCTAAATATTACAGCTAACATCTTGGCATGGCAGGCTGCTGACAGAGCAGCCACACGCATAGATATACACACACACGCACGCACGCAGACAACCAGTGCTAATATGTGATCGCTCGATGCACACGAGCGCTCGGATCAACGAGAGGGAAATTACAACCCGTCGCCTGTCACACACACACACACACACACACACACACACACACACACACACACACACACAAACACACCCACTCACTCAAAGCGTGACGTTTTTCCAGGTGCAGGCTATATGCTGCTCTGCTCTCAGAATAATGTAAGCAGGATGTTATATAAGCTAGCCCATCCTCTTCCTGCTTTTCACCAGGAAGTGGCTTTGACAGCTGGAGTTGTGAATTGGTTTTGCGGAGGGGGGATGGGGGAGGGAGAAGTAAGAAACGCTTGCTCAAAGTATGGCAATGTTAGCGGTTGTGAAAAGTACTTGGTATATTATTGGGTTATTCATTTCCATAAGCCCATAGCATGCTGGACCACATTTTTATTACCGTAGGTTATTGTATGCACAGACACAGGTGTGTGTGTGTGTTTCTTCAGCTATAAACCACAGTCCCATCACACCTCAATGTACATTCATTCAGTCAAGACAAACAGACAATCTTACAGCTTGTTATACAACTATAATATATAGTATTATATGTCTTCCATCTCTCCCCCTCTCTTCCCCTAAGCCCCATATCATACTTTAATTGAGTTTCCGTGATAATGAATTAATTCAGGATTCCAATTGAACACAAACAAATGTCAACGTTGCCTAAAGATCTAAACAGAATCAGAAATAGAACAAGTACAACTCTCTGATAGAAAGACCAAAGATGGCAAGGAAATAAACATTCTTTGAATAAGAACTCTTATGCAAACAATTTGTTTATTTAAACACACCAATGAGAGGGGGAGAAAAGAGGAGGAAAAACGATGTAGGTCCAGAGAGAGCCACCTCACAGCAGAGAAGATCAAAGAGAAAGTAGCAATTAGTGTTGAGGAGAGTAACAGAGAGAAACGAACACACACACACACAATTACAGAGTTGAGGCGAGAACAACTAAGAGCTAAGGATCAAACAACACCCTACACAGCTAATAGAGAAGCAGAAGACAGTAATGGGTTGAGGAAACATCTTGGTTTTCCTGCTGTTACGAATCCATTCTAACCTTCATATGTAAAGTGGGTTAGAGTCAGAGCAAACATTGGAATCTGGTTTGAACTGGGTAAACTGGGAGACGATGTATGGCTCAGTTCAACATACAGTATGTGTATGGTGTACAACGTGTTCAGTCCAATATAGGTGATATGAGTCACAATACTGTCATGCATCCTTGTAGAAGAGATGTAAATTCAATTGATTGGACATGATTTGGAAAGGCACACACCTGTCTATATAAGGTCCCACAGTTGACAGTGCATGTCTGAGCAAAAACCAAGCCATGAGGTCGAAGGAATTGTCCGTAGAGCTCCGAGACATGATTGTGTCGAGGCACAGATCTGGGGAAGGGTACCAAAATAATTCTGCAGCATTGAAGGTACCCAAGAACACAGTTGCCTCCATCATTCTTAAATGGAAGAAGTTTGAAATCACCAAGACACTTCCTAGAGCTGGCCGCTCGGCCAAACTGAGCAATCGGGGGAAAAGGGCCTTGAACAGGGAGGTGACAAAGAACTCGATGGTCACTCTAACAGCGCTCAAGAGTTCCTCTGTGGAGATGGGTGAACCTTCCAGAAGGACAACCATCTCTGCAGCACTCCACCAATCAGGCCTTTATGGTAAAGTGGCCAGACGGAAGACACTCTTCAGTAAAAGGCACATGACAGCCCGCTTGGAGTTTACCAAAAGGCACCCAAAGGACACTCAGATCATGAGAAACAAGATTCTCTGGTTTGATGAAACCAAGATTGAACTCTTTGGCCTGAATGCCAAGCATGGGGATGCTTTTCAGCGGCAGGGACTGAGAGACTAGTCAGGATCGAGGGAAAGCTGAACGGAGCAAAGTACAGAGAGATCCTTGATGAAAACCTGCTCCGCGCTCAGAAGCTCAGACTGGGGCGAAGGTTCACCTTCCAACAGGACAACAACCCTAAGCACACAGCCAAGACCACGCAGGAGTGGCTTCGGCAAAAGTCTCTTAATGTCCTTGAGTGGCCCAGCCAGAGCCCGGACTTGAACCAGATCGAATATCTCTAGAGAGACCTGAAAATAGCTGTGCAGCAACGCTCCCCATCAAACCTGACAGAGCTTGAGAGGATCTGCAGAGAAGAATGTGAGAAACTCCCCAAATACAGGTATGCCAAGCTTGTAGCGTCATACCCAAGAAGACTCAAGGCTGTAATCACTGCCAAAGGTGCTTAAAAAAGGACTGAGTAAAGGGTCTGAATATTAATGTAAATGTTATATTTCCGTTTGTTATTTTAAATACATTTGCAAAAAAGTATAAAAACTTGTTTTTGCTTTGTCATTATGGGGTATTGTGTGTAGATTGATGAGGGGAAAATAACTATTTAATCCATTTTAGAATAAGGCTGTAACGTACAAAATGTGGAAAAAGTCAAGGGGTCTGAATACTTTCCGAATGCACTGTATATACACTGAGTATATAAAACATTAAGGACACCTGCTCTTTACATGACATAGACTGACCAGGTGACTCCAGGAGAAAGCTATGACCCCTTATTGATGTCACTTGTTAAATCCACTTCAATCAGTGTAGATGAAGAGGAGGAGATAGGTTAAAGAAGGATTTTTAAGCCTTGAGACAATTGAGACATGGACTGTGTACGTGTGGTATTCAGAGGGTGAATGGGCAAGACAAAAAATGTAAGTGCCTTTGAACAGGGTATGGTAGTAGGTGCCAGGCACACCGGTTTGTGTCCAACTGCAACTCTGCTGGGTTTTTCACGCTCAACAGTTTCCCGTGTGTATCAAGAAAGGTCCACCACCCAAAGGACATCCAGCCAACTTGACACAACTGTGGAAAGCATTGGAGTCAACATGGGCCAGCATCCCTTGTAGAGTCCATGCCCCGACGAATTGAGGCTTTTCTGAGGGCAAAATGGGGGGTGCAACTCAATATTAGGAAGGTGTTCCTAGGGTTGTGGCAGTCATGAAATTTTGTCAGTTGGTGATTGTCAAGCAAATAACTGTCGGTCTCACGGTAATTGACCGTTAATTAACATAAACACGTTTACCATCTCCTGGCTTCCACGCATAGCCTACAAGCCACTGATACAGACCTTTGGAACATCTACATTTTAAAATGTCTAATAAATCAATTTAATATAGCCTACACCATCACAATAAATCCATTATTTATTTTAGACAGGTCTAAAGAAACATGATATGAAGAACAGAATAGCATACTCTGACCTGGCTATGCCATATGGCTGTGGGCTATACTAGTTCATTTAGCAGACAAGATTTTCTTAGAATTCCGTGGTATTATTTTATATTGTTTTATAGTATGAAGAATACAATTGAACACAGCTGAATAAAATAGAATGGATATTTTCTACAAATGGTTTCTGAGGGAGTGCGCACATGCAGCTATTCTGTGTTGAGGTGTTAACAAAGAAACAGGTCCTCCTATATGCTTAATTTAGAGTTATTTCTGCAACTTTAGTTGTGATACAAAATGTTGGGCTATATGTTTTGATTTCAAATCACATTTTATATACACATATTTACATTTTACATTTACGTCATTTAGCAGACGCTCTTATCCAGAGCGACTTACATTAATTATTATTTTTTTCATACATGCTTGTGTTCCTAGCTCCAACAGTGCAGTAATATCTAACAATACACAACAATAAACACAAATCTAAAAGTAAAATAATGGAATTAAGAAATATATAAATATTAGGATGAGCAATGTCGGAGTCCGTATCGATATTATGGACAGTATGTGTATAGAATATGTAGTATATCTGAAGAATACGTGGATAGAATAGTATATGTACAGCAATAGTTGAATAGGATGGCCTTGACTAGAATACAGTATCAAATGGGTAAAACAGTATGTAAACATTATTAAAGTGACCATGTTCCATTTCTATGTACATAGGGCAGCAGCCTCTAAGGTGCAGGGATGAGTAACCGGGTGGCTATTTAACAGTCTGATGGCCTTAAGATAGAAGCTGTTTTTCAGTCTCTCGGTCCCAGCTTTGATGCACCTGTACTGACCTTGCCTTCTGGATGCAGGCATGGTGAACAGGCTGTGGCTCGGGTGGCTGAGGTCCTTGATGAATTTCTTGACCTTCCTGTGACACTGGGTGCTGTAGATGTCCTGAAGGGAAGGCAGTGTGCTCGCGGTGATGCGTTGGGCTGACCGCACCATCCTCTTGACGGTGCAGTTGCCGTACCAGTCAGTGATACAGCCCGACAGGATGCTCTCAATGGTGCATCTGTACATTTTTGTGAGGGTCTTAGGGGCCAAGCCAAATTTCTTCAGCCCCCTGAGGTTGAAGAGGCACTGTAGAACCTTCTCCACCACACTGTCTGTGTGGTTGGACCATTTCAGATTGTCAGTGTACAACGAGGAACTTGAAGCTTTTCACCTTCTCCGCTGCGGCCCTGTCGATGTGGAATGGGGGCGTGCTCCCTCTTCTGCCTCCTGAAGTCCACGATCAGCTCCATCGTTTTGTTGACGTTGAGGTTATTTTCCTGGCACCACTCCGCCATGGCCCTCACCTCCTCCCTGTAGGCTTTCTCATTGTTGTTGGTAATCAGGCCTACTACTGTTGTGTCGTCTGCAAACTTGATGATTGAGTTTGAGGCGTGCGTGGCCATGCAGTCATGGGTGAACATGGAGTACAGGAGGGGGCTGAGCACGCACCCTTGTGGGGCCCCGGTGTTGAGGATCAGCGTAGTGGAGATGTTGTTGCCTACCTTCACCACCTGGGGGTGGCCCGTCAGGAAGTCCAGGACCCAGTTGCACAGGGCGGGGTTCAGACCCAGGGCCCCGAGCTTAATGATGAGCATGGAGGGTACTATGGTGTTGAAGGCTGAGCTGTAGTCAATTAACAACATTCTTACATAGGTATTCCTCTTGTCCAGATGGGATAGGGCATCGTGCAGAGCGATGGCGAATGCATCATCCGTGGATCTATTGGGGCGGTATGAATATTGCAGTGGGTCTAGGGTGTCGGGTAAGGTGGAGGTGATATGATCCTTAACTAGCCTCTCAAAGCACTTCATAATGACTGAAGTGAGTGTTACGGGGCGATATTCATTTAGTTCAGTTACCTTCGGTTTCTTGGGTACAGGAACAATGGTAGACATCTTGAAGCAAGTGGGGACAGCTTACTGCGATAGGGAGAGATTGAATATGTCCGTAAACACTCCAGCCAGCTGGTCTGCACATGCTCTGAGGGCTGGCAGCCTTGCGAGGGTTAACACGCTTAAATGTTACTCACGTCGGCCACGGAGAATGAGAGTTCGCACTGTGGTATCCTCAAAGAGGGCGAAGAAGGTGTATTCGATCACATTCCCAGTCACCTTGCTGTGGTTAAATGCAGTGGTTAGCGCTTTCAATTTTGCGCGAATGCTGCCATCTTTCCACGGTTTTTGATTTGGGTAGGTTTTAATAGTCACAGTGGGAACAATACCCACTATACACTTCCTGATTAACTCAGTCACCGTGTCAGTGTATACGTACATTTTATTGTCAGAGGCAACCCAGAACATATCCCAGTCCGCGTGATCAAAACAATCTTGAAGCATGGATTCCAATTGGTCAGACCAGCATTGACTAGACCTTAGCACAGGTACTTCCTGTTTGAGTTTCTGCCTATAGGAAGGGAGGAGCAGAATGGAGTCGTGATCTGATTTTGTAATACATTTGCATTGATGTCAGAGTGATTGGAGGGACAATAGAGTGCTAAGTACCAGGCAGTTAGCAAGTTTGGAATGCTACTAATGACCATCAGCAGCATCAGAGTGCAGTTTTGGAGAAGCCTAGTTACCATGACTAAACGGTCACGTGGAATTTGACTGCGGTCATGACTCGTGACTGCCAGCGTGGCGGTAATACGGTCACCGTAACAGCCCTAGGTGTTCATAATGTTTGGTATACTCGGCGTATATGAAAAACTAAATAATGAAGAAAAACAAATATAAATGCAACATGCAACAATTTCAACGATTATACTGAGTTACAGTTCATACAAGGAAATCAGTCAATTGAAATAAATTCATTAGACCCTAATCTATGGATTTCACATGACTGGGCAGGGTTGCAGCCATGGGTGGGCATAGGCCCACCCACTGGGGAGCCAGGCCCAGCCAATCAGAATGAGTTTTTCCCCACAAAAGGGCATTATTACAGACAAAAATACTCCTCTGTTCGGGTGGCTGGTCTCAGACGATCCCACAGGTGAAGAACCCGGATGTGGAGGTCCTGGGCTGGCGTGGTTAAACCTGGTCTGCGGTTGTGAGGCCGGTTGGGCGTACTGCCAAATTCTCTAAAACAACGTTGGAAGCGGCTTATGGTAGAGAAATTAACATTCAATTCTCTGGCAACAGCTCTGGTTGACATTCCTGTAGTCAGCACGCAAATTGTACACTCCCTCAAAACTTGACACATCTTTGGCATTGTGTTGTGTTAATCATCTTCTTGATATGCCATACCTGTCAGGTGGATGGATTATCTTGGCAAAGGAGAAATGTTCATTTCTTCATTGTTTTCATTTTGTTTAATCTACACTGAGTATACCAAACATTAGGAACACCTAGGGCTGATGCGGTGACCGTATTACCACCACACTGGCGGTCACAAGTCAACACTGCAGTCAAATTCCACGTGACCATTTAGTCATATATACATAGTATAATTTAAAATTTCCATTCAAGTGTGGTTAATGTGTACATTTTACAGTTTCAAAATGATATTGTTCAAAACAAGCTGAAGTTACCTACTGCTCTGCCATCAGCAGCTCCGGCAGCTTGTGACATTATGCTAGCTAGCTATCCCCAGTTAGATCATTTGTTTCACTTGTCGCATTTTCCCTGTGCTTGTGTCACCGATGCACTCGGGAGCTGGCTGCTGGCTGCTCGCTGCGCGCTGCTCGTTCTCAAAATATAACTTTTGGTCATCAAAACAGTGGCAGCATGTGCAGCAGTGGGGATTCTGTTTTATATGCAAAAGTGAAATAGGTGTACCTATGCGGTTGTTCAAATGCACAGATCACTTTATATTTTACATTTACATTTTAGTCGTTTAGCAGACGCTCTTATCCAGAGCGACTTACATGAGCAATTAGGGTTAAGTGCCTTGCTTAAGGGCACATCGACAGATTTTTCACCTAGTCGGCTCGGGGATTAGAACCAGCGACCTTTCGGTTACTGGCACAACGCTCTTACCCACTAAGCTACCTGCTATATCTTCTCAACGAAACAAGCGGTAATTATTTTACTTGGGTTAATAATTCTCTCATGCTGCTTTGTGTGCGTGCCTGTTTGTGCGTGTCAGAGGATTAAAAAATTGTAGGTTTTTGAACTCTTGAAAGAGCAGAAGCTCTGGATACAAAATACTTAAATACAGAAGAAATGAAGTGAGGCGGAGAGGAGATGGAAAGAAAACGGAGGAAAACAGAGGAAGGAACACTATGTACAGAGATCTCATTAGCAAAGCGTCTTCTTCCGTCCTTCTTTCCTCTTCTAACATTTCAATAGCACTTAGTACAAGTACGAGCTTCAAGGATACAGAGAGACAGTGAAGGCTTTCAGACCCGGGTTTCAGATAACTAACATTAGCTCAAATTCATGCAGCAGAAATTGAAACTATTTTGAGTTTTGAGAGATTACTTTATGGAGGAATATGACTAACTATCAGATAGCAAATCAAAAGGCCACACAAACAGCTGATGCCATTAGTTAGTTATAGTAGTTAGTTATAGCTAGTCTGTATGCAGGGACTCTGATGATGTCATACTGCTGGGTCCATCTTTATTTCACTGAAATACTTGTATATATCAGACCTCATAGAAAGAACAGCGTTATTATTACGTTGGAATCCTTAATGGTGAAACAGCCATGTTTGTTTGTTATATTACAACAACAAAGAAGTCATTGCAAACAACGAACACCGTTTTTTTCCCCTCTGACATCATTGCACGCGCGACAGAACAGCAGCATATGTACTGCAAATATGTACCGTATTATTTTGTTGTTGGACAATGCGTGAAGCTCCCCAGCTCTGCTTCGTCAACAAAGCCAGAAGAACCTCGGTCTGTACTCTCTCCTCCATCAGGAACGGCTCTGTTTATGTGATCTTTCCGGTGGCCACGCCCACAAGCATGTACACACACACGCAGACTCCTCCATCCTTACCTCCAGTAGGAAGGGTTCTGTCTCTGTAGTTTTGCCCGTGGCGACACACTGGAAGGTGGCATTCTGCCCTGCATTGACCTCCACATCCCCCAGCCGAGAGAAGTGGGGAACCTTGTCTGTACAGAGAAAGAAAGAGAGAGAGAGAGATCCTCTGTGATACTGATGCACTGAAAGTTCATTAATATCATACGAATACACACGAATGCACGCATTAGGAACACAGTCATCACACACACACACACACACACAGGACGAGAGCATCAGTGCAGCACAGCTCTCCAAGTCATGCCTGTAGGCATTACTCTTATGGAAGTACACTTATAAGAACAGCTATACATTTTTCCTTTCAGACACTTCAACATATTTTTCAACACATCACTTCAGAGTTATTCTGTGTTCTATCCCCTGCTAACAGTTCAGTTGCGCTCTTAGGCAACAATTATCCACTAGTAAAGGCTGAAGGAAAATGTACACTGAAAAACATGATTAAAAAAAAAATCCTAGAAAAACTCAATTTACAGACAGTGGTGGCACTCCTGTTGTCTCCATAGCCTAGTTCTTCTCCCGCCTCACTGTACCAAAGAGCTAGCTAGCTGTAATAACACCTTGTATTGTGTGCTTTGTGTTGTATAGAAATAAAAGAAGCTGGTTAGAACACACTAGTCCAGTAAAGTGCTTGTACATAATTATGTCTACAGTAGCTGAAATCACAGGGATTTGACTTGACAACCTATACGAGGCCCCATCAAACTTATTTCAATGGCTACAATGGCCTCTGTGGGTTCTGCCTCAGCTATACAATGGGCAAAAACTGTATAGTGGTCCTAATTGTCATAGTCACAGTGAGGGAAAAAAAGTATTTGATCCCCTGCTGATTTTGTATGTTTGCCCACTGACAAAGAAATTATCAGTCTATAATTTTAATGGTAGGTTTATTTGAACAGTGAGAGACAGAATAACAACAAAATAATCCAGAAAAACACATGTCAAAAATGTTATAAATTGATTTGCATTTTAATGAGGGAAATAAGTATTGACCCCCTCTCAATCAGAAAGATTTCTGGCTCCTAGGTGTCTTTTATACAGGTAACGAGCTGAGATTAGGAGCACACTCTTAAAGGGAGTGCTCCTAATCTCAGCTTGTTACCTGTATAAAAGACACCTGTCCACAGAAGCAATCAATCAATCAGATTCCAAACTCTCCACCATGGCCAAGACCAAAGAGCTCTCCAAGGATGTCAGGGACAAGATTGTAGACCTACACAAGGCTGGAATGGGCTACAAGACCATCGCCAAGCAGCTTGGTGAGAAGGTGACAACAGTTGGTGCGATTATTCGCAAATGGAAGAAACACAAAAGAACTGTCAATCTCCCTCGGCCTGGGGCTCCATGCAAGATCTCACCTCATAGAGTTGCAATGATCATGAGAACGGTGAGGAATCAGCCCAGAACTACACGGGAGGATCTTGTCAATGATCTCAAGGCAGCTGGGACCATAGTCACCAAGAAAACAATTGGTAACACACTACGCCGTGAAGGACTGAAATCCTGCAGCGCCCGCAAGGTCCCCCTGCTCAAGAAAGCACATATACAGGGCCGTCTGAAGTTTGCCAATGAACATCTGAATGATTCAGAGGAGAACTGGGTGAAAGTGTTGTGGTCAGATGAGACCAAAATCGAGCTCTTTGGCATCAACTCAACTCGCCGTGTTTGGAGGAGGAGGAATGCTGCCTATGACCCCAAGAACACCATCCCCACCGTCAAACATGTAGGTGGAAACCTTATGCTTTGGGGGTGTTTTCCTGCTAAGGGGACAGGACAACTTCACCGCATCAAAGGGACGATGGACGGCGCCATGTACCGTCAAATCTTGGGTGAGAACCTCCTTACCTCAGCCAGGGCATTGAAAATGGGTCGTGGATGGGTGACAATGACCCAAAACACACAGCCAAGGCAACAAAGGAATGGCTCAAGAAGAAGCACATTAAGGTCCTGGAGTGGCCTAGCCAGTCTCCAGACCTTAATCCCATAGAAAATCTGTGGAGGGAGCTGAAGGTTCGAGTTGCCAAACGTCAGCCTCGAAACCTTAATGACTTGGAGAAGATCTGCAAAGAGGAGTGGAGCAAAATCCCTCCTGAGATGTGTGCAAACCTGGTGGCCAACTACAAGAAACGTACTTGGTGCCAACAAGGGTTTTGCCACCAAGTACTAAGTCATGTTTTGCAGAGGGGTCAAATACTTATTTCCCTCATTAAAATGCAAATCAATTTATAACATTTTTTAAATGCTTTTCCTGGATTTTTTTGTTGTTATTCTGTCTCTCACTGTTCAAATAAACCTACCCTTAAAATTATAGACTGATCATGTCTTTGTCAGTGGGCAAACGTACAAAATCAGCAGGGGATCAAATACTTTTTTCCCTCACTGTATATAAAAGCTGGCTATTACATACCTGCAGTCTGCTCTGCTTTAACCTTAACCCTTCCCTTATGTTGTGGCAACTGAGATTTTAATCACAAAAATACTATTGAACATATTTTTTTCACCATGACCCCTCATCTAGTCCTAAAGGTAGGAGTAATAACCTTAAAAATGTAATAAATAATACTCTGTACTTGACCTGCAATTTGACCTTTGAGCTGGAGACAATGGTCTTCTGTGCAGTAAAGGTCTAACCATGACTATCTGTCACGAATACAGCCGAGGCTGCCCCTCCTCCTTGCTCGGGCAGGCTTCGGCGTCGTCACCGGAGTACTAGCTGCCACCGATCGATGTTTCTGTGTTACACTAGTCTTGTCTTTATTATTCACACCTGTTACCCATTATGCTTATTTGTTTCCCTATAATTACCTCTGTAGGCACCCAACTCACCCAGAGCTCCCTGTTGCTCACATGATGGTTAATGTAAATTTCCCAGGGTTTTCCCCACATTCCCAGCATAAGGCGCTCGTAGATTCTGGCGCAGCTGGGAATTTTATGGATAGGCTGGTTGCGCATAAATTAGGGATTCCTATATTTCCTGTAGATGTGCCCTTCCCCATACGTGCCCTAGATAGTCGCCCTTTAGGGTCGGGTATGGTTAGGGAGGTCACAGTTCCACTCCGGATGGAGACGCAGGGGGGTCATGAGGAGAAAATTAGTCTCTTCCTTATCGATTCTCCTGCGTCTCTCGTGGTGCTGGGGCTTCCCTGGCTAGCCACCCATGACCCCAGGATTTCGTGGCAACAGAGGGCTCTTAAGGGATGGTCACCTCCGTGCTCGGGAAGGTGTGTAGGTGTTTCCGTAGGGGCAACTACGGTGGAGAGTCCAAACCAGGTCTCCACTATGCACATTCCCTCAGAATATGCCGATTTGGCTCTCGCCTTCTGTAAGAAGAAGGCGACTCAATTACCAGCCCATCGACGAGGGGATTGTGCGATAGATCTCCGGGAGGGCGCTGCACTTCCCAGGAGTCACGTGTATCTTCTGTCACAGGAGGAGACGGTGGCTATGGAGACATATGTCACCGAATCTCTGGGACAGGGATACAGTCGGCCCTCCACTTCCCCTGCCTCCTCAAGTTTATTTTTTGTGAAGAAGGATGGAGGTTTACGCCCGTGCATTGACTATTGAGGTCTAAATCAGATAACCGTAAAATACAGCTATCCTCTACCTCTCATAGCTAGTATGACGGAGTCATTGCATGGGGCGCGCTTCTTCACGAAATTGGACCTCAGGAGCGCGTACAATCTGGTCCATATCCGGGAAGGGGACGAGTGGAAGACGGCATTTAGTACCACCTCTGGTCACTATGAGTACCTCGTCATGCCGTACGGGTTGATGAATGCTCCCTCAGTCTTTCAATCCTTTGTCGATGAGATTTCCAGGGATCTGCACAGACAGGGTGTAGTGGTGTATATAGATGATATTCTCATCTACTCCGCTACACGCAACGAGCATGTGTCCCTGGTGCGCAAGGTGCTTGGTAGACTGTTGGAGCATGACCTGTACGTTAAGGCTGAGAAATGCCTCTTCTTCAAACAGTCCGTCTCTTTCTTAGGATACCGCCTGTCAGAGTCAGGGGTCGAGATGGAGTGTGACCGCATTTCAGCCATGCGTAGTTGGCCGACTCCTACCACGGTAAAGGAGGTGCAGAGATTTATCCAGGGCTTTGGCCAGGTAGCAGCTCCCATAACCTCTTTGTTACTGCTCTTCCCTGCGTGGAGGGTTTGTTATGGTTTACTTTTGTTTTAGTAAATCCATTCATTTCTCAGTTCTGTGTCCTGCGCCTGATTCCGTTTCATCACTTCACCCAGACGTTGACACTATCACAAGGATGTAAGTATGTTTTCCCTGTGATGTTCAGTGGCTGAGGGACAGTGATCTGGAGGTTGGCTATAAATGAGCTAAACATGTCATAAATGTCATAAAATGTCATAATTTGATTGATTTATTACTCCGGTACATGTATCAAACATTTGGCTCTACATTTTTTTACAGTTGGGTCTATCAACTCTGCAAAAACAGCATAAAAAATAGGATATCCTCGCTACTGGAAATACATTGTGGTGCATCATCCGTGTATAGCGTTTTGGAATGTAAGGGAAGGGTTAAGGCACTTGGGTTATTGCCTACTTGAGATGTTAGATTCAATTTAGTGAAAAGCGTTTTAAATAGTTACTATTCTGTCTGGCTAATGCATTACAATTACAATATAATTTAAATAAATCTTTCAAAATGTTTCCAGTGACTTACGTTGAGATGATGCTAGGTCTATACTATAACAACAATGGTATTCTCTGGTGAGCTTTGTACGTACAGTAGGAACTCAAGAGGAAAAGGCTGAGGCTGAAACACTAGTAGCACAGAAATAAAAAGTGGTACTTTGCAAGCACAGCGTGTGGTATTCTTTCACACAAGCAAAGCGAGCACTGTTGTCCCTGGTAAAGTGGGGAATTACTTTAAAATAACAGACTGTATTATGAAGGACATTTCTTATACTGAACAAAAAAGAGAGCGAGAGAAAAGATGGGAAAAGAGGAGGAGAGGAAGAGAGAGACTGTCCTCCGTACACATGACACTCCTATCACGAGTCTCCATGGAAACGGACATCTGCCCACCTCTCTCATTTCTGTTCTCCTCTCTTGTTATTTTCACTCTCTCTTTTTTTCTCTTCTGCTCCAATAAGAGCAGGGAGGGATGAGCTGCAGCTAAATTGATTTCTGCACGTAGTTGGTAGTCTTTCAGCAAACACACACGCACACACGCATGCGCACATACACACATACACTACCAGTCAAAAGTTTTAGAACACCTACTCATTCAAGGGTTTTTCTTTTTTTTCTACAATGTAAAATAATAGTGAAGACATCAAAACTATAAAATAACACATATGGAATCATGTAGTAACCAAAAAAGTGTTAAACAAATCAAAATATATTTTAGATTTGAGATTCTTCAAATAGCCAAGCTGGTTGAGAGAATGCCAAGAGTGTGCAAAGCTGTCATCAAAGTAAAGGGTGGCTATTTGAAGAATCTCAAATGTAAAACATATTTGATTTGTTTAACACTTTTTTGGTTACTACATATGTGTTATTTCATAGTTTTGATGTCTTCACTATTATTCTACAATGCAGAAAATAGCAAAAATAAGGGAAAACCCTTGAATGAGTAGGTGTTCTAAAACTTTTGACCGGTAGTGTACACAATCCCAGCCTTGGCCCTAATGTTTAATGCTGAATCCATGTAGTTTCATGGGCTCACACCAAGGATTAAGAACGGTGAGTAAGGTTTCACACCACATAATGGCCCGTACCTGTTTAGTAGGTTGTTATGCAGGTAAGTCACACTCTTATATCCAAAGGAAAACTTCAATTTCACAGCGATTTCGTTTGACCGTAACACGTGTTTGGAATAATGAGAGTGACTCTGGAGAAAATAACTGAAATGTCAAGCGTGTTGGAATGTGAATATAAGAGAGACTTGATTCTCCTGCAGACCAAACAAGTTATTTCTGCTGCTTTAGGGGGCATTGTTGCAGCTTGGAGTGTGTGTGCGTTTAAGAGGTTCCGTGGAGGGCCCTGGCAGCATCTTCTAATGAGAGTGTTGATTATTTAATGGGGACGGCGGGGGCCAGGGAGGTGCCATCTGCATCAGGGCCAAGAGACGTACCCGTCACACACACACGGCCCTGGCAACCACTCTAATATCACCATGGAAATGCACACAGGCTGGCCAACGTTCAGGTGACAGAGGCTAAGTGTTCAAAGTTTAAGATGAGATGAGCTTCTCTCTGGTAGTTTTGGAGAGAGAGAGAGAGAGAGAGAGAGAGAGAGAGAGAGAGAGAGAGATAGAGAGAGAGAGAGAGAGAGAGAGAGAGAGAGAGAGAGAGAGAGAGAGAGAGAGAGAGAGAGAGAGAGAGAGCGAGAGAGAGAGATAGAGAGATAGAGAGAGATAGAGAGAGAGAGAGAGAGAGATAGAGAGATAGAGAGAGATAGAGAGATAGAGTAACTTAAAGGCCTGGCTGTTTATATATATATAATATATATATATTACTTTTTATACTGGCGGTAAAAGCTGTCTGAACTTCATGAGCTCATAAACGCCCTCCATTATCATTCATTAACATTTCTTACCAGCCCGCAGTTTCTGCTTTTCACTGAGGATTATCCCTTTATAGCGAGCCAAGACAGGGGCCATCTTGGCTCGAGACCAACCGCATCTTGGCTCAAGCTCCATTACGGATCTGGCTGGCTCAATGTTCCCTGGAGTCCCCAGGGGTCATTGTTAGTCAGTGGAAACTGTGTCAGGCCTCAGCACCACTCCTATACACTCTGTCACACATTGTCAGCACAACTGAGGGCTCTCTGTATGTATGTCTGCATCCCAAATTGCACCCTATATAGTGTATTACTTTTGACCAGGGACCACAGGGCTCTGATCAAAAGTAATGCACTTTGTAGGGAATAGGGTGCCATTTGGGACGCAGGCATTGCACTGAGCCTGCTCTGCTGTAGAGGTAATAGTTATGGGGACAGCAGGTGAGTGTCTGAGGAGAATGATGGCCAGGGAGCCTGTAGAGGCATATGGTTGTAGGGAGGGGCTGCACTGAAGGAGTGAGGTTTTACTGGGGAAATATTCCAAAGGAACACCATGGTGTGTCAGACTGCTGTGAGTGCTGCTGTGGGAGAGACAAAGAGTATCTGCTTTAGAGAAGCAAGGGGGTTGTGGAGGTGAAGGGTGTTTGCACTGAGGGAGGGGGGTTAGCTATAATGGGGAAATCTCTCAGAGTGTCACCATGTGTCATTATGGTCCAGCTAGAGACCTCAGACTACTGCTACTCTCGTCATGCCTTGATGGAGAGGAAGATTAAACAACATGCGACGAGAGGCCGTTCGCCTGCTGCCCGCTGTTTTCTTGGAACAGTGCATGTGTGTGTTTCCAGGATCAGTATATTAGCTCTGGGAGAGTGGGCTCGTCTTGGTGACGGGGAGAGTGGAGAGACGTGCCGAGCCGTCAGGAAGATAAAGGTCACCAGCTCGCTGTCCTTTCGACCGGGACAAAAGGAGTGGCGCTGTGCAGCCATGAACCATGGGAAATCAGACAGGTGTACACATGCCAAAAGCCTCTCAGAACAGTCTCTGGCTTTGAGCGCAGTGCCTTCGCTGATTACTGTACAGGCCTCTGTCCGTCTGACTTTGTCGGTCTGTCCACCCCTGAGCGCCCAGACATGCATTGTCCCATTTCTTTGTAAAAGGTCACTGGCTCTGTTCTGAAGTACATTGGTACATTAGTACTTTGGTGCCTTGGTGCATTGATACGGTGCGTTGGTGATAGATTGGTATAGTGGTGCGCTGGGTTTGCTATGTTGGTGTGTTGGGGCGGTGTTTTTTGGGCTGGTGTACATTGGGACCTTGGTGCTGTCGTGTGGTGGGTAGCTACTTACAGCAGGGGTAGTTGAGCAGCAGGATGTCGTCAATGGCGATGTAGCCTCGCCGTTCTGCCGAGACGGATGCTTCAAACACCACCTGAGGAGAGACAACAGAGAGATGAGAGGAGAACGGAACAGACGATGGAGAGATGAGGAGGAAGGAAGAAAGGAATTCACGTTATGCAACACAGAGAGAGAAAGGACTGGAGGCAGAGTGAGAGGAAGTCCTAATCAAACAGCTTGTCTTTGAATCCACGGAGGCCTGTCTGGTGGCGAATCCCACTGCTCAAACATCTATAGTTTAACATAGCCTCGTTTCACACAGGCATCTCTCCCTCTTTCCCTCCCTCCCCTCCCTCACTCTCTTTCAAACAGCCATCTTTCTCTCTCTCTTCATCAGAGAACACACACAGAACATGGGACCCACAGGAGTCATTGAGCGCTGCCCAAATCTCTACTCACTCATCTAAATGAATCCAGCGTCATGCAGAGAAACCAAAGTGAATCCCAGATCCCTCCCACAGAGAACCAGAGTGAATCTGGACCGCTGAAAAATCATTACTGCCACAATAACCCATATCGTTTACTGAGGGACAATTTACTATTTTACCGCAGAGGCACAACAAATACATAAACACTGCAATCCATGCAGATGGGGTTTACTGCATTCATAGATTCCAGACTTCAAATAGCACTTTACTTTCAAGTAATTTAGCTGGGCTTGATTGAGCTTTTCTGGCACAATGGACCCAATGGATACGTCACTGACAGCCACACAGTGTAAAGCTCTAAAAATCCTAAAATCTCATCAGAGGTGTAGATAATAGCTGATGTGTTTCACCCACTCACACATACAATATTATGCTAGCTATGACTGAAACCAGCAGACTCTGATAGTTCAGATTCCACTATCACACACTCCAAGGAGTCTGGGAGCGCCCCAAATGTCACCCTATTCCTTACATAGTGCACTACTTTTAGGGTGAAATTTGGAAGCAGCCCCAGTGCGTCTCTGTGTTGACCAATACCTCAGGCTCTAAGTGCCTGGTCTGGATCGATAGCACCACACAAGGCCTCCGCAGATGGATACAGGCCACACTTCCATGTCTGGTCATTTATTAGTATTCTTCAATCTTATGCGTGGGCCATTAGAGAAGTCCGGACAATTATCTTCTCCATTCATCAGGCGCTGACGCACCCCGACGCGCACGCACTAGGGCTGACCCCATTTAGTCGACTGGTCGATTGTTTGGTTGATAGGCTGTAAGTCAACCAAGATTTATTTTGTCGAGCAGTAGCGAAAAAAATGTAATGCTTTTAAAAATCATGGTGTACAAGACACCTGTCTGATTCACGCCTGTCTGAGTGGACTGATCCATTGTGGAGGACGTTGGGATGGCACAGTCACTCTAAGATATGTGCTACTGAAATTGTATATGGTTATATTATGTGGCCTCCTGTAGCTCAGTTGGTAGAGCATGGCACTTGCAACGCCAGGGTTGTGGGTTCGATTCCCACGGGGGGCCAGTATGAAAAATGTATGCACTCACTAAAACTGTAAGTCGCTCTGGATAAGAGCGTCTGCTAAAATGACTAAAATGTAAAAAAATTATGTAAGAACAATGGTGCAACACAAATAAAATAAAACATTTTTTATAACAAATGCGCTTTCTCCCATGTTGGATAGTGGTCGCTGTCCGCAGTTCTGAAACACATCAGTGTGCTGTTGAATCGCAGCCTTTTCCTAGACCATGTTGCTATGTGCATAACAGCAAAGTTAACCATCAAATTGGTGTTGAGAACAATGCGGCGGAGGCAGCAGCAGATTGTCTAAAAAAAGTGAGGAGAGAGGAAACCCCAACTTAATTAGGTCTATAATCAAAAGCCTAACTGTTAAATGTGCCTGGTTTTATAAATCATCCATTTATATATACAGAAATAAGACAGATCGTGGTTCTTTTTTATATTTATAATAATAACCCTTTTCCCTTGATCTCATTCTTATTGTTACTATTATTATTTTTATGATCATCCTTATAATAATAAGTAACATCATTATCATTAGTAGGTATAGCAGCCTTCTATAACCACCATCGAGCTGTAGGCCTAAGAGCGCATACTGTTTAGTCTTAATACTTACTACTGTAACTTACTTAGGCCTATATTTCAATACATATATAGGCTACTGTATCAATAAATCATTTATTTGTTCATGTCGTCACACAGCATACGAGTCATTCATGATGTGAAATGCAATTAATTTTTATTTTTAAAATAGAGTATCAAAGTGACCCTACAGAAACGGTCCGAAAAATTATTTTGTAATCTAACAGCACCTGTTTGGCACACATAATATACACGCAGCGCTTGCTCCATACCTTATTTTTCTTGATCTCCAGTATTTTCCACAACTAGTCAAATGTATTCCACACATGTGACTTCCCCTTTACCTCCTGCACAACCAGTAAACATTCCCCCGTTTCAAGTTTATTTGTCACGTCCTCTGCATCCATTTTGCTGTCATGTGTTACGGTGTTCAGAGTTTGTTATAACCAATGTATTGATGTGATTATAATATGCTACAGGCCGGGCCCTATTTATTACGTGCATGCGATGCATACATGTGTCACATAAGGAGAGCAAGGGTTGAGGGAATAGGGAATGTTTTTCCTAAACAAATTTGGGATTTCGGTAACATAACTTTTCAGTCAGAAATGGCTGTAATTATGTCGTAGCTTCAGCAACACAGACAGCGCTATACACACTGATGCTCTGTGGTGGTCGCTGCAGCAAGGAGGAGAGAGACACAACGGGTGCTAGACACACAGTCACTCGCTGTCTTTTTTTAACAAAGTGCAGCAAGTCTGAGCCAGGTGGCACAATCAAATCAATTGCGGCAGGACTCCTTTTAGTAATTTGTGTGTCTTAATTATTTCATTAAACAGTGCACTTAAAGCATCAGATAAGCTCAGTGCATATAGTTGATTTGATTAAAACACATAGGACGTGTCTATATATAGAATACACGTTTTAAAATTTAGACCAATCAAGAACAGACGACTCTTGGTCAACCAAGATATTTTTTTGTCAGGGACAGCCCTAACACACACCTCGAAACACCCGGCCATCCATTCACTCGCTCAGCACTGCACAGAGCCTTGACCCTACCTGACTATCAGCATCAGACCATACACAGAGCAGAGAGGGAGAGGGGGAGAAATGGAAAGAGTGACAGAAAGAGGGGCAGAGATAGAGAAAGAAAGAGAGAGAGAGAGAGAGAGAGAGAGAGGAGGGAGAGAGTGAGAGTGAGATGTAAGGAGAGAGGGTGTAGGCTAAGCTACATTGATATTGGCAGTCACGATGGGCCCGATAGCATCGTAAATATTTGATAGCAAAGTTCCCCAACATCTCTACTACCCACACCTGCAACACCCTTATCTCCAATACCCACACAGGCAAAGAAAGGAAAAATCTATCTATCACTGCACACAAAGTAAAGGTGGATTTGTTCAAAGGAACAGAATCGTCTTCAGCTCAAGGTTGAGACAGTCTTCCTGCTTTCTTTACCTGTTTCCTCTTGTTGCAACCAGGCATAGCTACAAGGAGAACGGAGAGAGGAGCGAGGTAGATATAACACTTCCAAAAAACAACCGTGATGTGAGAATCAAGGCCAGGCTTGCGGAAACTAGTGGGGTGCTGCTGCATGCTGCTGTCTGTCTCTCAGGCTATAGAGCTGTTTCATCATCCAAGCAGAGCAAGATGGGGGAAATAATAACACACACCAAACTCTGAATATGGATCACAAAACCACTGCCTTCAGATACCGGGAGGAGGGATGGAGGGAGGAGGAGGAGGAGGAAGAGGAGGGATAAAAGGAAAAAAATTAAAATTAACTCATACATTTTAACATGAGCTTTCCTCTCCCCCTAGCTGCTACAGCACCCGTTCAGTTCACCTCATAAAAGCTAATGGTGCAGATTTACACACTTCTCTATGCTGCATCCCTGCCCTGTTCCCTTCCCAGTCCTCAAAGGGAATACATATAATCGGCTGGCTGGCTGGTTTGGTGGCTGGCTGGGTGGCTGACTGGCTGGCTCGCTGGTAGGCTGGCTGGTTTGTTGGCTGGCTGGCGATAAAGGATTGCAATAGAGAGAGGATTTGTTGGGTAATTAATATTTCTGGATTCTGGTTTTCATTTTTATCGCTATGGGAGTTGTTATTTAAGCATGCGTTCTTATGATAAAGCTTTCAATTTGTACACCGACAGACTCCATCGATCCACACAAGTGGTTTAATTAATTCAACAGCTTCAGAAACAGTTGGAGAAACAGGAACACTTTGTACAGTTATTGCCAGAATGTTCTGTTGATGGATTTGTTTTGGTTAATAAAGTGGAATGAGGGTAGAATGGTATTGACTGGTATTGACATTGTGGCAGTAAAACACAGTAATATATGACCTGAGATTCAGTGGACCTCCTTCATCTAGTAGGCTGAGGAAATAGGGACACATAACTACAGTGCCTTCAGAAAGTATTCATACCCCTTGACTTATTCCACATTTTGTTGTGTTACAGCGTGAATTCTAAATGGATTAAATAAATAAATAAATCTCACCCATCTACACCCAATAAACCATAAGGACAAAGTGAAAACATGTTTTTAGAAATGTTTGCAAATGTATTGAAAAGGAAATACATCAATATTTCATTTACATAAGTATTCACACCCGAGTCAATACTTTGTAGAAGCACCATTGGCAGCGATTACAGCTGTGAGTCTTTCTGGGTAAGTCTCTAAGAGCTTTCCACACCTGGATTGTGCAACATTTGCCCATTATTATTTTCAAAGTTCTTCAAGCTCTGTCAAATTGGTTGTTGATCGTTGCTAGACAGCCCTTTTCAGGTCTGCCATAGATTTTCTAGTAGATTCAAGTCAAAACTGTAACTCGGCCACTGGGGAACATTCACGGTCTTCTTGGTAAGCAACTCCATTGTAGATTTGGCTTGTGTTTTAGGTTATTGTCCTGCTGAAAGGTTAATTAATCTCCCAGTGTCTGGTGGAAAGCAGACTGAACCAGGTTTTTCTCTAAGATTTTGCCTGTGCTTAGCTCCATTCCGTTTATTTTTTATGCTGAAAAACTTCCTTAACGATTACAAGCATACCCATAACATGATGCAGCCACAACTATGCTTGAAAATATGAAGAGTGGTACTCAGTAATGTGTTGAATTGGATTTGCCTCAAACATAACACTTTGTATTCAGGACAAAAAGTTAATTGCTTTGCCAAATTTTTTGCAATATTACTTTAGTGCATTATTGCAAACAGGATGCATGTTTTGGAATATTTTTTATTCTGTACAGGCTTCCTTCTTTTCACTCTGTCAATTAGGTTAGTATTGTGGAGTAACTACAATGTCGTTGATCCATTCTCAGTTTTCTCCTATCACAGCCATTAAACTCTGTAACTGTTTTAAAGTCACCATTTAAACCATTTAAAGTCATCATGGTGAAATCCCTGAGTGGATTCCTTCCTCCCAGGGAGTTCCTAACTGAGTTAGGAAGGACGCCTGTATCTTTGTAGTGACTGGATGTATTGATACACCCTCCAAAGTGTAATTAATAACTTCACCATGCTCAAAGGGATATGCAATGTCTGCCAATAGGTGCCCTTCTTTGCGAGGCATTGGAAAACCTCCCTGGTCTTTGTGGTTGAATCTGTGTTTGAAATTCACTGCTCGACTGAGGGACATTACAGATAATTGTACGTGTTTGGGTACAGAGATGAGGTAGTCATTCAAAAATCTGGTTAAACACCATTATTGCACACAGTGTGTCCATGCAACTTATTATGTGACTTGTTAAGCACATTTTTACTCCTGAACTTATTGAGACAAAAGAAAGAGAGAAAGTGCGAGAAAGAGAGATGTCTTTCCTCCTTCCGTTTTCTGGCTTGGTTCCATCCCCCTGTCCCTCGTCTCCTAAAACCCAGGCTGTTCTCGGAGCCTGCCCAGGACTGATAGCACCAAGAGCCATGAATAATCAGAGCTCAACCAGAAAGACAAACACCCAATTGAGACTCTGCATGCAGAAATCTGCAAAAATATACTTTGCGTACTACGTAAAACCCCAAACAATGCATGCAGAGCAGAATTAGGACTATAGCAGCTAGCTAGCAAAATCCAGAAAAGAGCTGTTAAATTCTAAAACCACCTAAAAGGAAGTGATGCCCACACATTCCACCACAAAGCCATCACCTACAGAGAGATGAACCTAGAGAAGTGTCCCCTCAGCCAGCTGGTTCTGGGGCTTTGTTCACAAACACAAACAGACCCCACAGAGCCCCAGGACAGAAACACATTTAGACCCAACCAAATTATGAGAAAGCAAAAAGATAACTATTTTACACACTAGAAAGAATCAACCAGAAAAAATAGCAAATTGGAATGCTATCTGGCCCTAAACAGAGAGTACACAGTGGCAGAATATCTGACCACTGTGACTGACCCCAAACTAAGAAAATGCTTGACTATGTACAGACTCGCTATTGAGAGAGGCCACCATAGCCTGTCTTCTCTTGAGAGCCAGGTCTGCCTATGTGCCCACTGCCCACAAAAGGAGGTGGAAACTGAGCTACACTTCCTATCCTCCAGCCAAATGTATGACCACATTAGAGACATATATTCCCACAGACCAACATAAAAAAATAAATAAAAATCTAACATTGATAAACTCCCATATCTGTTAGGTGAAATACTGGAGTGTGCAATCACAGAAGCAAGATTTGTGGTCCGTTGCCATGAGAAAGTGAAACCAGTGGAGCACAAACAACATTGTAAATACCACCTATATTTATCTGGTTATTTATTTTACCTTTTATACTTCAACTACTTGCAAATTATTACAACAATATAACATTTGAAATGTCTATTCTTTTAAAACATTTGTGAGTGTCATGTTCACTAATGTTTCCCTGTTTATTTCCCTTTTGTTTATTGTCGATTACATTTGCTTTGGCAATGTAAACATATGTTTCCCATGCCAATAAAGCCCTTTGAATTGAATTGATAGCAGAGAGAGGTAGACATAGAGGTATGGAGAGAGAGAGAGGGGGAGAGAGGGAGAGAGAGAGAGAGAGAGAGAGAGAGAGAGAGAGAGAGAGAGAGAGAGAGAGAGAGAGAGAGAGAGAGACAGAGAGACATGAATAATCAGTGCTCAACCAGAACAAGAGAGAGAGATAGGGGAGGGAGAGAGAGAGAGCGAGAGGAGCGAGAGGGATGGAGAGAGAGCGAGAGAAAGCAGCTGAAAGAGGGCTAAATACAATGATCCGGCTGTGCAGAGGCAGGTGCTCTACCTGCACCACAGAATACACCCTGCTACAAGTACACAAGCTAGGCTACAATCTCTCTAGGCTACAGCCTGTTCACTCTGTGCCCTGAATACACACACTGCTAAGATAAAGTACCATCTTCAGTTTCCCAGACTTTCTAGTTACAAACATACCCCACAGAGCCACATTACAACAACAACACAATCAGACCCAACCAAATCATGAGAAAATAAAAAGATAATTAGTTGACACATTGGAAAGAATTAACAAAAATAACTGACCAAACTAGAATGCTATTTGGCCCTAAACAGAGAGTACACAGTGGCAGAATACCTGACCCAAACTTAAGGAAAGCTTTGACTATGTACAGGCTCAGTGAGCATAGCCTTGCTATTGAGAAAGGCCACCGTAGGCAGACCTGGCTCTCAAGAGAAGACAGGCTATGTGCACACTGCCCACAAAATGAGGTGGAAACTGAGCTGCACTTCCTAACCTCCTGCCAAATGTATGACCATATTAGAGACACATATTTCCCTCAGATTACAGAGATCCACAAAGAATTTGAAAACAAACCCAATTCTGATTGCTTGCTGTCCCCAGTCCGCCTGGCCTTGCTGCTATTCCAGTTTCAACTGTTCTGCCTGCGGCTACGAAACCCCTACCTGTCCCAGACCTGCTGTTTTCAACTCTTAATGATCGGCTATGAAAAGCCAACTGAGAGACCTGAGCCCTAGGACCATACGTCGGGACTACCGGCCGTGGTGACTCCTTGCTGTCCCCAGTCCGCCTGGCCTTGCTGCTATTCCAGTTTAAACTGTTCTGCCTGCGGTTATGGAACCCCTACCTGTCCCAGACCTGCTGTTTTCAACTCTTAATGATCGGCTATGAAAAGCCAACTGAGATTTATTCCTGATTATTATTTGACCATGCTTGTCACTTATGAACATTTTTGAACATCTTGGCATGGTTCTGTTATAATCTCCACCCGGCACAGCCAGAAGAGGACTGGCCACCCCTCATAGCCTGGTTCCTCTCTAGGTTTCTTCCTAGGTTTTCGCCTTTCTAGGGAGTTTTTCCTAGCCACCGTGCTTCTACACCTGCATTACTAGCTGTTTGGGGTTTTAGGCTGGGTTTCTGTACAGCACTTCGAGATATTAGCTGATGTAAGAAGGGCTATATAAAATAAAATTGATTGATTGATTGATTGATAAACTCCCTTATCTACTGGGTGAAAAACCACAGTGTGCCATCACAGCAGCAAGATTTGTGACCTGTTGCCACAAGAAAAGGGCAACCAGTGAAGAACAAACACCATTGTAAATACAACACATATTTATGTTTATTTTCCCATTTGTACTTTAACTATTTACACATTGTTACAACACTGTATATATACATAATATGACATTTGAAATGTCTTTATTCTTTTGGAACTTCTGAGTGTAATGTTTAATATTAATATTATTGTTTACTATCTACTTCACTTGTTAACATACGTTTCCCATGCCAATAAAGCCATTGAATTGAAATTGAAATTGAATTGAGAGAGAGAGAGAGAGAGAGACAGAGACAGAGAGAGAGAGAGAGAGAGAGAGACAGAGAGAGAGAGACAGAGAGAGAGAGACAGAGAGAGAGAGAGAGAGAGAGACAGAGACAGAGACAGAGACAGAGACAGAGACAGAGACAGAGACAGAGAGAGAGAGAGAGAGAGAGAGAGAGAGAGAGGAAGGACAAAGAGAGGAGAGAGAGCCCAAGAGAGAGGTGAGGAGAGGAGAGAGAGACAGAGAGAGACAGGAAGAGAGATGTGGAGAGAGAGACAGAGAGATAGTTGGAGAGACATTTAAGTCTGAGGGCCGCTGTGATCACTCTCTGTCTTTATCTCTCTTTAGTCTTTAGTGCTATGTCTATTGACTTCGTTCCCATGCAGGATTTCACAAAACGAGGAGGAGAACATCTTGAGAGCTTCATAGAATATTCAGATAGCGTTTGCAGCTACCTTTCCTATTAAACTCAATCACCTAAACTCTCCCTCTTTAAAATATCAAAAGACTGGGACTGTTCACCTGCCACTGATACCAAAGTAACAAGTTTCTTACCTACACTCTAGCCGACAAGACACATCTGAATAATCTACTATTACTTGAGGCAGAGACAATGAATGGTAATGGCACATCACTGACTGCTCTCTTCTTTGTGATTGCTGTGGGGGGCTATAGCTAGCTCAGTCTCTGATCAATCTCCAGCTACAGAGCACGTAGTCCATCTCTCAGTCTGCCTCCTGCTGGCCCCTCTGGGCTTCTCAGGGATACCTGATCTCCATCTCAACCTCTCTCTCTTTCTCCCTCTTTCTTTTAAAGCCCATGTGAAGCAGTCCCGTTCTCTCTTCTTCTCTCTCTGGTCTCTCTCTCCTCTTTCTGTCTGTTCCTGGCTGTTGGTCAGGGTCTCACGGGGCCGATCTGTTGGCTGGGACTGCTGGACAGTGATCCTTATCTGTGGGATTGGATGAGTGGGCCCTCTGGGGCCTTCGCTAGCACTTTGAGCCGTGACAGAGAGAGAGAGAGATAAAGGGAGAGGAGGACAGAGGGAGATGGGGAAAGAGTAGAAGATAGATCATGGCAGAGAAGGGGAGAGGAATAGGGGGGTGAAAAGGAGAGGAGGAAAGGGGGAGAGGGGGAGAGAGGAGAGAACATGGGAGGCAGTGAGAGGCAGGCAGGCAGCCAGGCAGGGTGCCCCGCCCCAGGCTGTGTTCTATTCTATTCTGTTCTGTCCCCCTCTTCACAGTGCAGTCAGAGAGACACATCCTTGCAGGGCAGGATTAAAACCCTGCACCAGTCATCCTCTCAGTCTTTTACCTGCTTCATTACCTGCAGCAGAACCTCTTACTGCTCTATGGGACCAACAAAGCAATCTGTCCCGCGTCTGTCTGCGTACCCGGGGGGAAGACTTAAGACGTCACACCCACCCACACGTCTTCATTTCCACTTATATAACACCAAGGCTGCTTCAGCGTACACACACATTATCAGGGTGGTAAATTATACCGCTAATGCATTTCTGTTTTCAGACAGACGCAACAAACACAGCTCTACTTTCACCTAACCACCAGCCCAGGCAAGGCTTGGTCTGATTGGATATTGGATACCAACGCCCCCGTGTCCCATATCCCCTTTCCTTTCAAATGGTAACACACACACCCTCTTACACCGTGTGAAAAAGGTAGGAGACTGTGGCGGTGGCGAGAACCTTTTGATGTTGTTGCAGAAGAGAGGAAGAAAATCATTAACTCTTAATCACTATGGGGTTGTGTTGTTGGTGAGGACTGGGACAGCAGAGCTGAGGATACTGCCACACAACACTGATCCACACCGGCCCTAATCTCATTTAGGATGCATTGATTTATTGAGATGTGTCTGGGACCAGGCTCAGCGTTCTGAGAGGAGACCAAGGTTATGGAAGCAAACACTCCTCTACTGAGGGTCACACGGAATTGAGGTCAATTGACTGTTCAGCCGAGCCACACCAACTCCCACAATTCTTTACTGCTGCCATTGATTTCAAAGGGAGAGAAAACACACAGAACAGACAGACGCACAGTCACACACAAAAACACACACACACACACATAAACACAGCTATTGGCTTCTCGTTAAGGGCGTTTTGGAGGAGGGCAAATGAGAGACGGCTAGAGGTATAAATCATAGGATTTAATGAGGCTGCCTCCAAACAGCCCATCACACACACACACACACCCACAATAGCCATAACAACACCATCAACTGAACCCAGGGCAGAACAAAGAGATATTGATGACTCTGCTGCACTGGGGGAAATTAAGCCATACATATATGTAAAAATAAAACAAATACACTAATTTAGTACATTTATACTCTCATGTTGTCACCATGACATAGTGTAGTAGTGTTTCCCTACCCACTCCTCTGGGACCCACTCCTGATGATTCCCAGCTAGCAAGCATACTGTGGTGGCCCACTAGCGGCCCGTCTCTGGCATAGTTTGCAGCCCGCAGCTGCAGTTTAATCAGTGCTGGAATAGAACATATGTGCAACAGCTCTAAAAGCCAATGTATTCTGTTCTTAATTAACCAACCAATCAAACAACCAACCAACCAACCAACGAATCAATCAGTCAGTTAGCGCTCACCTGGTATTCACTGGGCCAGAAGGTGCTAACGGCTAGCTCCATCTGGTGCCACTCACTCTAAACCTCACCTGGTTATAGATCCATATTACTGTCGATGTAGCATTAGCATAGCCTCTTCTCTGGTATTTGCTGGGCCAGAAGGTGCTAACGGCATAGCTTTAGATATAGAATCAGCATAATGTATGTGTTAACACAGATGTATCATTAGCGCTCACCTGGTATTCGCTGGGCCAGAATGTGCTGACGGCTAGCTCCACCTGGTGCCACTGGCGTCCATGTGACCCGGAGACATTCCAGACGGCGCTGCCCCACGGCCCTCCGTTGACCCGGATGTAGAGCTGCAGGTCCCCGGGGGAGTGGCCGTCGCGGCTGTACAGGAAGTAGCTGAACTGGATGCAGTGCGTGTCGTTCTCACTCAGCGAACGGAGGAGGAGGTGAGCCCGCTCCCCCGCGGCATGCTGGGACGAGTTCACCATCATGAACGACCCTGGGGGACAGCAGGGAGGAGACAGGGTCAGATGGTTATAATGCAATTCCTGTCAACAGAGACGTAACTTTAGGGAAATCTCCATGATTTGAGGGAAAGCGTTTCTCTGCTCTTCCTCTGTCTCTACCACAGGCGGCCGCTGGCACCTTTATTGGGGAGGACGGCTCATAGTAATGGATGGAACGGAATAAATGGAATGGTTTTCAACATATCGTTTCCATGTGTTTGATACCATTCCATACGCTCCATTCCAGCCATTATTATGAGCCGTCCTCCCCTCAGCAGCCTCCTGCGGTCTCTTCCCCTCTCTACCTCTCTCAGGCCGTCTAAGGGTTTCTTTGTCTGCCACACGGCCTTAGATATCCCCTGTTCAAAGCTTTGTGTGGTGGACAGACAGACTGTGAGAAGACACACATACTTTCATTTAGAGACTGAGGTTCACAGAGTCTCTCATCCCCTCCCTCCTCCTTCCGACTCTCTCTCTCTCATTCCCTCCCTCCTCCTTCCGACTCTCTCTCTCTCATCCCCTCCCTCCTCCTTCCGTCTCTCTCTCTCATCCCCTCCCTCCTCCTTCCGTCTCTCTCTCTCTCTCTCTCTCTCTCTCCCTCTCTCCCTCTCTCCCTCCCTCCCTCCCTCCCTCTCCTCTGACTCTCCCTCTTTCATCCCCCTCTCTCTCTCTCTCTCTCTCTCCCTCTCTCTCTCTCTCCTCCCTTTGACTCCTCTCTCTCTCTGCCTCTCTCTCTCATCCCCTCCCTCTCCTCTGACTCTCTCTCTCTCTCCCCTCCTCTCCTCTGACTCTCCTCATCGACTCTCTCTCATCCCCTCCCTCTCCTCTGACTCCTCCTTATCGCCACTCCTCTCACCCCTCCTTCCTCGCTATCATCCTCTCTCATCCCGTCCCCTCCTCTGCTCCCTCTTCACCTCGCTCCCCTCTCTCTACCCTCCCTCTCCCCTGACTCCCTCTATCGACTCCTCTCAGCCCCCTCCCTCCCTGACTCTCTCTCTCTCATCCCCCCTCTCCTCTGACTCTCTCTCTCGCTCTCCCCTCCCTCTCCTCTGACTCGCTCTCTCTCATCCCCTCCTCTCGCCTCTGACCGTCCTCTCTCTCTCATCCCCTCCCTCTCCTCTGACTCTCTCTCCTCTCTCATATCCCTCCCTCTCCTCTGACTCTCTCTCTCTCATCCCTCCCTCCTCCTTCTCTCCTCTCTCCCTCTCTTCATTCTCTCTCTTCCCCTGCTCCTCTCCTTCCTTCTCTCTCTCTCTCTATCTCTCCCCTCTACACCTGCTCTCACTCTCTCATTTCACTCCCCCCTCCTCCCTCTCTCTCTGACCTCTCCTCTCTTCCTCTCCTCCTCTCCTCTCTCTCTCTCATCCCTCCCTCTCTCTCTCCTCCTCTCATCTCTCTCTCTCGATCTCTCTCCCTCTCTCCTCATCCTCCGCGCCCTCCTCTTCCTCTACCTCGTCTGACTTCTCTCTCTACTCATCCGTCCTCTCCTCTACCTCCTCATTCGATCTCTCATCAGTGCCCCTCCCCTCCCCTCTCTCTGATCTCCTCTCCCCTCTCCCTCTCCTCTGCTCTCTCCCTCCCTCTCCTCCCCTCTCTCCCTCTATGACTCCCCCTCTCCTACTCTCCTTCTCATCCCCTCCTCTCCTCTGACTCTCTCTCTCGTCATCCCCTCCCTCTCCTCTGACTCTCCCCTCTCCCCCTCTCCCCTCCTCTCCCTGATCTCTCCTCTCTCATCCCCTCCCTCTCCTCTGACTCTCCCTCATCGACTCTCTTCATTCCCCCCTCTCCTCTGACTCTCTCTCATCCCCTCCCTCTCCTCTGATTCGCTCTCTCATCCCCTCCCTCTCCTCTGACTCTCTCTCTCTCATCCCCTCCCTCTCCTCTGACTCTCCCTCTTTCATCCCCTCCCTCTCCTCTGACTCTCTCTCTCATCCCCTCCCTCTTCTCTGACTCTCTCTCTCATCCCCTTGGCACAGCAGGGCTGTCGCCTGTCCATGACACAGGTGCCAAACAGACAACCTGACAAACATAAGAGGGAGATTTGCCTTCACAGCTGTCCACACACCTAAATGGATGAGAGGCACAGAGAGAGAGAGCGGGAAAGAGAGAGAAAGACAAACAGGAAAACAGATAAAGAGATAAAGATAATGAGTAAAAGAAAGAGAGAATGAGTGATAGAGATGTCCATGTTGATCACACCATATTGGGAACAGTGTTCATGAGGAAATCCCAACAGAGTATCATTCTAACCCTTCTTAACCTTTCTAATCCTTTAATAATGATCAATGGGTCACAGTGTATTGGATCCGGTTACCGAAGGAATCTTCTAAGTGCTTTAAAGACACGGCTGTAGTGTATTCTCTATGGAAGGGCAGGGCAGGCTGGGTAATGTAGTTGAATGAGTGTGTAATCAGGGACTCAGTGCCCTGACACTCCTACTGCCATTAATCATACTGACACTGTCATTAGGCTGTGAAGGCAACCTAGAGAATATGTAGAACACCAGAGATTACGCAAGCACGCACACACATAGAGCGATGGGCTCAGGTCCAAATCCCGGTGACCTTCCTGGAAGTGAGAGCTCCCCTCCTCTTCCCCTCCTCTTCCCCGCCTCCCTCTTTCCTTGGCAGGTAGAGTGATTAAGATACTACAGCTCCTTGGGAACCTTATCTCTCTCTGTCCCTGGCCTCAGCCTGGCGCTGGCTGCCTTCATAAGGACGTAGTACAGCATGTGACCTGTGTCTATAGCTTCAGTACTGTGACCTCAACATGCCTTTCAGACAGGCTGCCTCTCCTCATTGCATTTCCCCATTACCTTGCCCTCGGGTTGCACAATTCCAGTAACTTTCCCGAAAATGCAATGGATTCAGGATTTCCTGCTTATTTTCTCCTGATTCCGGGAATCTTCCAACCAGCATTTCTGGAAAACCTGGGAATTTTTCAATGCTACGTTGCCCAAATCAGAGAATAACAACACACACACCAACAAAACACAATAGAAGGTAACACAGAGAAACAGGTGGTGCTGGTTCAATTAAACCCTGGTCTTGTTGGTTTGCTTTGCTTGCTCATCCAAAGGGGATGAGTCACACACAGAACAAGGAAAACATTGAAGAAAGTTCAGTCATTCGCATCAAAAGTTGTGATTCCCCAGACCAACCAAGACCTACATCAGCCAGGTCACAGCACAGGGCTGCTCAGTGTTTAATAACCTCTTACAGTCTCAAAACCTTGAATCCCCTCTACTGTCCAAAACATCCCTTTCTTCGCTCTTCTCTTTCCTGACCCCTCTCTGGACAAAACATCCCTCCGGTATCTTTTCTCATCCTCTCCTATCCCCTCTTCCCTGACCCAGACCCTGAACCCAGCCCGGACAGAACCGTCAAGCCTTCAGTAAATTCCTACTAGCAGCTTCTCCTCCTCTGGGGTACTGGCTGGCAGTATTCTCAGAAAACATTGATTTTCCTCTCGCTTCCCTTAGAGTCTCACCTACATCCAGAGCTAGACCAGAGCAGGCATTGACTTGGCCCCTACCGGTCCCTGGGCACTCACTGCCACCATGCCTCTGATGTGTGGAGACTCCTGGAGGCTCTTGGGGCCACGAGGCTAAATTGCTTTTCTTGCTAGATCAGTACACCACTGAACTACCTCTCCCTTTCTAATTTGAGACCAGGTAACAGGCCTATGTGTGAGCGAGGGAGAGAGCTGTACTGAGTAGGGTATGAGATGAGTGCTGTGACCAATAGTTAGACAACAAAGACATTAGCTGGAATTGAATTTACCCTGCCATAGCAATGGTAACACATTGTCTTGTTTACAAACTGCAACCCACTCTCACACAATTCTTACTCTGAAAATAGGTAGCTTCTAGTTGTTGAACAGTGCTGGAAGGAGAGAGAACGAGTGAAGATGAAAATATGTCTAACTAATTCTGACAGGCCCTGGAGCCTGTATGGAAATCAAATGAAGATGTATTATTATCTATCAATCTATGCATAACATTATTACACTCACTGAGGCAGATATACCCCTATCTCCCTGTTGCAGCCACCTAGTGGTGATTTAGGAAACTGCAGCAATCATATTAGGAAATCCATCCGTTATCAGACAAAACTCAACTGACAAATGAGGGACTTTCTAATATGGAGGCCATAATCCACGAACAAACAAATAACTGAATCAATTTATTTTTTATCAAGAGCTGATATGATGAACTGTCTGGGACATCTTTTTCGGAAGGTGAATATACTTCTAGAGAAAATGGAAGCTAAAGCTCAAAGTGAGTGTAAAGACATTGGTTAACACTGTATCTGCTAAACATACCAAATTGTCATCCTTCACCTGAGCATGATGGAGTCAGTCCATTTGATTGATGCATTAATTAGCAATAAAACAGCTTCTGGTAACCTTTCCTGTCCATCCTTGAGGAGCGAGACACACACGTAAAGAGAGGCAAACACACACACGCAGAGGCAAGTACACACAGAAACCCAGACACATAAGCACAGACTCAACTTGGGTTAAAAATATCCGGAGCTGCTGAAATATTCTCCATTAATCCATAAAGGCAGATAAGGCTCGCCTGTAACCCTGGCTAGCCCTGCCAAGGACGAGGTAACACACACACACACAGAAACATTAAGAGATTGGGGCACAGACCCGACTTCCTGCATTCCTATCAGAACGTCAGAGATAACATATAGGGTGGGACCCAGAGTCTCAGGTCTCATTGCTTTTATCACATACCAGGAGGGAGGGGGAGATATATAGGGAGAGAAAGAAGAGGAAGAAGGAAGAGAGAGGGTGGGAGAGGTAGAGATGGTGAGAGATTTTTGATTGTTTATTTCACTTTTGTTTCGTTATCTAATTCACTTGCTTTGGCAATGTAAACATACAGTATGTTTCCCATGGTCAATAAAGCCCTTTGAATTGACTTGAATTGAATCGAGAGAGAGAGAGAGAAAGTGAGATAGCGAGAGCCTCCACGTTCA